GTGCAACTTAGAAAATATATTTGAATATATATAATTCTATATACAGTATATAGATGTGAGTATGAATACATTTACTCACATACAGAATGCAACGCTATTTATTAAAAAATAACCTACTCTGATAAAATGGGAGATGAAAATATCAAAGAGTTCTTCACTTAAAATGATCAGATTATTAACTGAGAGACTTCTATTCCTCTAAAAGATTTTGCATTTCTAACCCAAACAAAATACTTGGATATGATTGAAGAAACAGCTGATCCAACGATGGATGGGAATGGCAATATTAGTGAGCGTTGTGTACACATTTATTGCACTGGAAAATCTATTTTTAGACAGTGTTTCCCAGTTCATGATGTAACAAACATAAAAATGCTCCTTTCTTTTAACACAGCATTAGTTTAAGATGTGCACAATTAGAATGACCTGTTCACAGCCTTTTAGATCCTGTAAATAAAAGCAGCCTTTCTTTGTGTTGTTAAAAAAGCATGATGTGTGTGCCGCCTATCCTTGCCTGAGCTGTAGTTCTTTTAGAAATTATATACACTTGTGCCCTGGTATCCGAACCTAATTCGTTCCTGAAAATCTGTTTTCTGGAAGGCTGGAAGTCGTAAATCAAAAATAAAAATCCCATTATTTCTTATGGGGAAAATTCCACCCCATTTCAAACCAAAGACAAGTTCAGTCAAAAACCTCCCTAAGCATATCATGCCATACAGACCATTATAGTAAGCTTAGTGAACAATGCAGTTCTACTCAAATAAACCAACTATGGCTGTAAAATAATTAATGATATCATATTTACATTTTTCATTGTTTTGTAATAGATCAGTATCCTAACGATCGGCTAAACAGATGTGCATACTGTTGTTGACTATTACACTAAATTATCTTTTTCTCTTCCTTAAGACCCCATAATGAACAGCAACTACAAAAAAACACTTTGAAAACGAGAGTACAAGCTTTTGTTGTGATCGTTAGAACAAAGGACCGGTGCCTCACGGCTTCTTTTACCACAATGCCTTGCACACGCACAGAAACAAACTACTGTTTGGTGGCACTGAATTCAAATGGTTGCAGAAGGTTCTTGGCCAAAATCGGTCACTTTCAAACTTCAGAGTTAGCATTAGCGAAATTTCATTCTTATAATGAATTACAAGGTACAAATTCTTCATGTTTGGATAAGCGAAAATTCGTATACCAAAGTTCTTATACTGGGGTATGAGTGTATATAGGTAGTGACTGACACTTGTACAAGGGCAGACATGTCCAGCACCATAGCCATGCCCTTTTTGTCCTGCTGGGAACTTTTCTTGCACCCATACACAGATTCTCCTCCAAGAGTGGTGTTGCCATTAGCCCCCTTCCTCAGGGTAATCTGGACATGTGGCATCACATACTCGGAGACCTTTGGGCCCTTTGCTCACTGATCCCCAGGCCCAGAGTCTCCACAACAACAACTGTTATCCAGGCTCAACAAGCTTACCCTCCAGCCCAGATGTTCCTCAGTCTTACACCATCAAAATGGCTCCTGATCCTCACTTTACCAGTCATCTTCGGTCTCAGACCTGCCTCCATCTGCTGGTGCCCTGACCTGATGCCACCAGGCTGGATCTCACACATACAGAGTCTGCAGTGCCTCATTCTTGCACGCAGAACTCTCTATCATTACATGTTTCTTCAAGACATCTTATTCTGTGCCAGGACTCCACACACTTTCCGTCACTGAAAGTACTCACAAAACATTTATGCTGCCTTACTTTCATGTCTCAGGTTGTGTAGTAGTTGTAGCTGCTGGTGCACCTTGAATCCATGCCCAACCATCACTGCCTTCTCTAACACACATGCAGCTGCAGCCTTTTTACCAGAGGTTTGAAGCCAGGTAGACCCAACTCTCCCCTCATACTCATATTGCCAGGGAGAGGCTCTACTGCACCTCACACTCTGGCTGCTCCTGCAGCTGCTGGTGCACCTTTTCCTGTGCCCAGACACCACTGTTTCCTCACCAGAGACCAGTGGCTAGACAGACCCTTCTCTTTTTCCAATACCTCGTATCTCCAAGGAAAGTGACCCTCTATCATACCGACACTCCAGCACTCACATACTAACTCAGATACACAGATTACTCCCATTCAATGGACATACAGACAGCACTATTCTTCCATCATAAGAGCTGCTGTCCCAATCTTGAGAGGCTCCTCTTACTACCTCGCAGTCCCCTCCAGGACTGTTGCTGTTATCGGTCCTTTCTGGGTCTCTCTCTCAACTGTTTCTCTGACTGGGGTTGTAGTTGCAATCGCCAATCTTCCTCTCTCAAGGCAGAAGTGCTCTTACTGTAGCTATTGCTGGCACCAGCATTGTCTCATACCTTCTGCAGTCCTGCTTTGGCCCAGCTCTCTCATTGCTGAGCCTCCGCTGATGGGATATCCAGTCTCTCACTTCCTTTCTCACCTGCAGCCAGCTAAGGACTGAATCCTCCTTGGTATCTCTCAGGGAAGTGTTTGCCATGCTCTTAATCCAGTCCTACAGCTGAGGCCTGTTAACATTCAGTCTTCTCAGCTGTTGTTACTGAGGCAAAGTGTTTTCCTCAATCAAGACCGCTGCCTCTGTGGCGAACACACCCCACAAGTGCTTTACAAAGATATTTACCCTCTACCAATGATGTTCTATTTTTTTAATTACTATACAAATGATGTTTTGTGATATGATATGTATCATGTGATACATACTGGATTTTTAAGGGAGTATTTTTATTATTTTCAAGATCTGAATGCTCAAAACAGAACACTTTTGTGACTGAAAGAAATTAAATGTCAGCAGAAAACTTAAGAAAACTACTCAACTAAAATATGTTGATTTCATACTGTAAGTATTCACTCCCTGTACTGAAGCAAACATAAATTTGTTAAAATAACAAGTGGCCTCAACTAATCTCTGTAAGGTCTCTCGTTTAAGTAGTACATTTCAAGCAAGGATTCACCTATGAAGACGAAGGATCTTTCAAAACAACTTAGGGATTAAATTGTAGTAAGCCACAGATCAGGAGAAGGGTATAAAAATTGAAGACATACTGACATATGGTGAACTATTAAGAAGTGGAAGTTTTATTGTACTAACCAGTCATAGATCACATTGTCCCTCCAAACTGAACAGTGGTAAGGCAGAATGGCTGAGATGGGAGAAAATGTCCAGAGGTCAACAATATCCCTTCAAATCTGATAGAAAATCTGTGGCAAGACTTTGCTGTCCATTAATGATCTTCACAGCCGGGGATGATACATACTGTACTTATGCAATCAACATATTTTAATTGATTTTCTTTGTTGTTGTTGCTGATTTTAACCATAAACATGTTCAGTGTTGAGCATGTACTCAAGGGAAATTATTGGAAGGGGGTGAATACTTTTGTAAGGCACTGTATATTCTTGGGCTTTGTTTCAGCTTGGCTGATGAAGCATAATATTTGGAGCCTTCTTCAGCCGAAATGTTTCTTTCTTCTCTTTTCAGCATGGAATAAACCTTTACTTGTTCCTTTGCAGCCTACACATGCTGATGCAGCTACCTACTTGAACTAATATTTATGTATGTTCTTTAGTTATTTCCCTCTAAAGTTTAAAGACTGAAGACACATTACAAAAACATAAGGTCATACAGTATGCCTTGTCGAAAAAATGTTTTAGAATTCCATCTTCACTGTGTTTAAGATTACTTTCATCTCTATTTTAATTCTCAAATAAAACAAATCTGTAGGACTAGTACATAATATCCTAATTATGTCTCTACAAGCCTAGATAATTGAAAACCTGGAAAACAATAAATATTGTATTTACTTCCCCACTTCTCCATGTCTTGAACCAACTAGAATTTTATTTACTTCTTAATAATATTTTTAGTCAATGGTATGCATGCCATTGTGTTGCCAGGAGACCCAATTTAATTTGTCATGGTTTTACACAATATGAGCTCTAGTGTTAGTTTACTGATGTGAGGAAAAACAATGTTGTCCCTTTGGATTGAGTAAGTGACCTGCAAGTCTATATATTGTTTTTCTATTATGAAACATGCTTGGAAATCACAATCAAACATACATTTTTATTCTAACCCTTGTGTTTCTAAAATGCAAAAATATTAAATAAAAAATATTAAATCAGGCTCTTTGAGGTCAGTTGTTTGACTCTGGATTGGGTTGCTTTCCTTGCAGAGTTTGTACTCTGGGATGTGGTAACACTATCCCACATCCAAAGAAACATGTGTCTTAGAGAAAAAATTGTTGATGTTTCTCTCCAAGGAAAACATTGCTATATGTCTCAAGTTTGCAAAACAGCACTTGAATGAAAAACAAGACTTCAGGAACACTATCCTCTGGCAAGATGAGTCAAAATTGGAATTGTTTGGCCATAATGCAAAATATCATGTTTGGTAAAAACCAAGCACTGCCTTTGTCCAGAACACCCTCAAACCAACTATCAAGCATGATGGTGTGGTTGATGTTTTGGGCCTACTCTGCTGCCTCAGGACCTATGCACCTCATTATCATTGAATCTACTATGAATTCCATACTCTACCAGTATTCTAGAGGAAAATGTGCTTCATGCAACAGGACAATGATCCAAAACACACAAATACATTTAACAATGGCTCAAGAAAAGACATTCAGGATTGTGGATTGGCCTAGTCAAAGTCCTGACCTAAACCCTGTAGAGATGCTGTGGCAGGAAATAAAGAGAGCTGTACATTTGAGAAAGCTCTCAGTCATCATAGAGCTGAAGCAGTTCTGTAAGAAAAAATGAACCAAACTTCCTCCCAGATAATGTTGAACAGACTGTTCAACTCTTAGAGATAATGTTTAATTCAAGGTAATGCTGATACAAGTTGCTTAATCGAGTGGTATACTGACTTTTTTGTGGCTTTGAGTGGCTTCTTGAAGAACCAGTATTAAATTATACTGCTGTTTGCTATTGGAATATATTAAATATAAAATGTGGACTTGTGTTTTCTAGGGAACTATTTGTATATTGAAAGCTCTATGCCCAGGAGAGAAGGGGATGTTGCTCAGTTAAGGACTCCTTTGTTGGGCTCTTCTGGGCTTCATGGGTACTGCCTGACCTTCTGGTATCATATGTTTGGAGCCACTGTTGGAACCTTAAGGATGTATCTGCAAAAGAGTCTTCATCAGCCCAAAACACTGGTATGCAATTTATCTGTATGAGCTTCTGCAACCTCAAACCTTTTTACAGTTGATTTTTTTCACAATGTATTGAACTACCCAAGCATTCACCTTTCTATCATCCACGCAATTTATTAATAAGTTATCCATATAGGTTCAGATTAACTATACAGTATATTTTGAGATGTACTGTACATTAAACTAACAAAAGAATGGTTACATAGACTGTAATACAAGGTGTAGGTCAGAGCAGAATTAGATATACTATATCCAGTATACATGTATGTTAGTAAAAGCAAGCAATAATGTGTGATACAATTAGTAGTTCGATTGTTTTATATTAAAATGCAAATCGCAACATAAATGTGACTCAGGTGACTGTAATTGTTTTAAGGAATGAAAGCACCTTTTAAGTCTAACAGTCTGTGTAAAATTTGAGCATCCAGGTGTGAAAGAACAGTGCAGTATTCAACAATAGCTCAATGTGCTGTGAATCATCACATCATGTTTCAACTTATCGTAGTTAGAGAATAAAAAATAAAGATAAGACAACTCACCTCATTACTGCTGAATACATTTTTAGACTTTATTTAAATATAAAAAATATTTGCTGGTTCCAAAGGAACACTTGTCACATTAGCTGTTGATTTGAATGTAAAGTGATTGAATTGAATATAAAGTGTTTTTCGGTTAGTTAGTAAGAATCATTATGTTTAAGCAAATAAGATACAGTCTTTCTGAAGGCATGACAAACTGTTATGCCAGCTGTGCTAGATCTGCTAATACTGAGAGGAATACTGATGCACCGAGAGAAAAATCAGTGTGCTCACTTCAGGCAGCTGTGAGTCTTTTTTCATTCCTGAGCTTGATTGCTTCTGATGCAGGAGTGCTGCCAGCTGTTTGTGTACAGGAAACATGTGGACAGCCCATTATAAACACGCTAAATTAAAAAAAGCAACTTTACTTTCAATTTGCAGCTTTGATATTGTGAAAAGCACAAACCGTGACATACATAAAACAGATAAGAAATTATAGTTTTCTGGGGTATTATTAACAAATATTTCAAATCCTAGCAAAGAAACACATTAATTGAATATATGAGCTGTTATCTAAAAGCCCAGAAGTCTTTTGAATTCTTTCAACTTCATCAGCTACCAATATCCAGTAACTCTCCATTTAAATAAATTTAAGAAATAAACTTAACTTCTTTTAATTGCTCATTAATAAAGGGATTTTTAACATGTTAAATTACTTTATACCTGCAAAACATTCTCTGCTGTCTGTGTTTTAAAACTTACTGATGAGAGATTCTTCTCTGTTTCTACCAAGATATGGCAGAGGAAGGGGACAGTGGGAGATGAGTGGAGAAAGGCCCAGATTCATGTGGTTCTCCAGGATGTTCATGAAATAATGTTGGAAGCCACTGTTGGCGGACCTGCAGGAGACATTGCAATTGATGACATTTCATTTGTCCCTGGAACTTGTCCACCATCTGGTATGCTCTCTGTTAAGCTTTCAGCAATCACATGTATAGAGCAAACATATCTGAAATGGGTTACAAATACAAATATGGTGATATTAATATCATTATGTTGGATGTGGGGTGTAAATAACAGTAACAAGAGCTTGTATGATGATCCATCCATTTTCTAAACTCTTTATTCAATACAGAATCATGGGGCAGCCAGAGCAAACAGGCACAAGGCAGGACAGGCAGGGTACACCCTGAACAGGATGCCAGTCCATCACAGGGCGGACACAGCCATACTGTACACATACTCACAGCAGGGCCAATTTTCCTAGAACCCAATTAACCTCCCAGTATTTCTTTAGACTGTGGGAGGAAACTCACCTTGAAGAAACCCATGTGAACCCAGGGAGAGTATACAGTACTTCAATGCTGATAGAACCCCAGGTCCACCATTGAACCCAACAAGGGCCCAAGTGCTGCAAGGTAGCAATGCTACCCACTGTGCCATCATGCTGACCATGATGATGACATCATCAGAACAACACATTCCTAGCAGAACTGTGAACACTGTAACTAAGTGACATTTTGTGGCTATTATTTCAACCTTGAAGCTGAATTCACCTTAATTCAAAGACTTAAGACATGACTTGTGCCACCTAAACTAAAGCTCCATAAACATTTGCTCTCCTCTGTTAGGCATTCATACATTATAATAATATCAGTATTATTATTACAATTTTAACATACTGTAGTTTAAAACTAATTGCAGTTTATCCACTGAAGTGGATTTTATTTTTGGCACTTAAAATTTTAAATGAAAACTCCCATTTTAGGGAGTTACTATTTTGAATATCTTGTAGTACATATACAATTGAGAGGTTTTGATAGATGTACATTTTAAAATTTAAGAGGAAAGATGTATTGTGTAAGTGATAGGATTTCTGTCTGTCCAACCAACTTTTTTTCTGTCCACTCACCCACAACCTTCATCCTATCAATCCATAATAAACAGTTAGTACTCTATTAATGTGTTATTCTTCCTCAGTAGGCATGTGAATCTGTTCAATTTATATTGCCATATCATCAAAATAATACGATTTTCTGATTTGATTTTTTTCCCCAAGACCTTTGTGATTTTGAAGAGAATGACTGTAATTGGATCCAAGAGACAGATGACGACTATGACTGGATTAGAGGATTTGGAGGGACTCCTAGTGCTGACACTGGACCAAGCTTTGATCATACAACAAACACGGCTACCGGTCACTATTTTTATCTAGAAACCTCCAGTCCTCACAGACCAGGGCAAAAGGCAAGAATGGTTTCTCCAGCGTTCCCAGCAGGTGTGATAATCTGGACTTTCATTTACTGTATATACTGTGCCTAGGCCATCAGTAAGCAAAGAGTGAACCACTGTTCTCAATAAAAGTCAGCTTGTGAGAAAGTGCTATACAGTACCTTTCTTCATGCCTGTGATCCTACAGACAGCTTCAATATTTAAAAAGTAACATTGTGTACATATTTAAGGAGGAGTTGTAGGAATTGACAATGATGTCAGCTTCTTTAAATACTTGACAAGTATTACATAGAACCTTTTCAGGACTCAAAGGACTCAAATCCAGGCTATTTGTATCATGTTTTAGACATAAAACACAGTTTTACACAGTTTAGTTAAATTCAACCTTGGTTATATCATTCTTGAATTCTTGACTGGTGTCTCACAAGAGATACGTGTTCAGGTTTTAATATTATGTTACAATTTTCTAGAAAACATCAGCAGACCTTAATTGTCCTTGTCAGAAACAGATGTAAGACATCTTGATGGTCATTCTGTAATTTTCTGTAACAGGGAAGAACAGGTGTTTACAATTTTGGTATCACATGTATGGAGTAGGCATTGGAACCTTAAATGTGTACAATCAAGATGAATGTGTTGGGAATCAGTCTCTTATATTCTCTCAAACTGGAAATCAAGGAGTGCTATGGAGGTTTGCCCAGACAAGCCTTGAAGAATGCCAGGCATCATCATTCAGAGTGAGTATTCATATTGTGCATGTCAATTCAGGGACAGAGATTTATTGCCAAAACATGTTTGGTTAACAAATTTGTTTTTCATGCAAGTTTAGAATTGAGGAAGCAACATATTAGTTACATACAGTATTGGAGACGACAAAAAAAGACCCTTTTTAGTGCATTCTGTGAAATGCAGAGCAAACTTAATCAGTAAATTGTTGGGATGATAAACCATAAGTATACTAATTACACACTTTTTTATAGCATATATATATACACCTTTGTGATGCTCTTATAGTGCTTTACTTATAAGAATGGAACCTTTTCTTCTATCACTATAGTGCAGTTCCAATGTCGGTGACGTAAGGCAGCCGGTATGTGTCAGCATACCATTTAAAAAGCAGTGTGGTATTGCTTCACTCATGGAATTAAGGGGAAACTTTAGGAAGGTCAGATTGTATAAGCACATAGTGGGATTTAGTCAGGACGTGTGGGTTAACTCCCCTAGTCTATCAGAAGGCCATTAATGACCACATAATTTGATTTTTAATGAGCAACTATTGTAGTCAGGAGCTTGGATAAACAGCTCACATCCCCTAAGCACAATGTCTCCTGTTGCCATAGTGGGACAATGGTTTGGAAGTTTTGGTCTGACAGGAGTACCTCCTCCTTCCATAACACATGCAATAGAAGGGTGGTCTTAGCAGGTTGCAGCAATTTTACAAGTCTCCCATCCTGGCACTGACCAGGACAAGCCTACTGCAGCTTAGTTCCTAAGATCTGATCTGGGTGTGAAACGATAATGCTGTTTCTTAACTAGACTTTATACGAAATGACTTTTCATTTTTATTCCTTTGTAAATTAATTTTTTTAAAGAAACACAGGTAATACAAGGAGACTGCCCTTTGGAGTTTTCAACTATTGAAATATTTTATATTTCCTCATCAGTGATGTATATTCACTCATGCCATCTTTTTCTGTAGTGTATGTGTTACTTTTACACTTTTAAATTATGTGTACACATTAGAAAACAAGGTGGGCTCTACAGAATCTTTCAAGTTATTGTGTCCAGTAAGGTGAGTTCTAAAAATTACTGGGGTAGTCTAAAGCATTATTATTTCTGTTAATCGCATGCACGTATTAATCACAAAAACAGTGAATAAAGTAAAGGTCGTAAGAAAATAGACAGCTGGCATGTGACAAACGGCAAGAAACGGTGCATTTTTGAAAACTTTTTTAATCATTTAACTATGTACTAAAGATTTATTCATTTTGTTTCTGAAGGTTTTTTAATGAAAAACATTAGCTGTTTAGACAATTTAGTGTACAGTTCTATACACATATAGCTAATATACTAATAATTTATACAACATTTAAAACAGAAAAGAGTTATGAATTTGCTGTTTTCTTCCCAACAAAACTGCATTGCTGAATGCTGCTCTAACTTCCCAGTGACATAGAAAATGCTAAATAGTGAAGTGATCTTTCCAATATCCATGTGATTTCATAGTTTTGAATGTCTGGAATAAGCCTAAGATGAGACACATCTTATTGTTGACTGAAAATTTGAAATAATTTAACTTTACCTTAAAGCATATAGAGATGATTGTTAGGCATAAGTGAGAAAATGGATTGAGGATGGATTGAGAAAATTGAGGAAAGGAAAAATTTTGTTTTGGTGTTCAGATTGTATTTGAAGGGATAAAAGGGGCCACTGACAAAGGAGACATTGCCATAGATGATATTCTGGTGTTTAATGGACCATGTTCTCCTGCTGGATACTGTGACTTTGAGACCAATTTGTGTGGATGGACAAACATTGAGGTTGTGGATGAGGGTGACTGGATTCGAAGCAGAGGGAACACTCCCAACATCAATACTGGGCCTGGTATTGATCATACTACCAACACCACAAAGGGTGGGAAGAAATACTAAATTATTATACTAATAAAGCTAATAAAGAATGACTTGCCTAATCCCTATCCCTAATTATTAAAACATTTTAAAGAATACAACTGCTATGAAATGTTTTCTTCACTTTGATCTATCCTTTTCATAACAAGATTATTTAAAAAACCCTGGGCCAAACAAATCTTAGCCCAGAAAAAAATGCCATTAAGTGTGTTTTATGCAGTGGTAAACAACACACAATGAAAATATATTTGGAATGTAGCCCTGCAAAACCACCCAGAAAGCAGAATGTCATTATTGTTTATATTTTCTTTAACAAAAAAGTGAGAATTTGCAGTAATTTAATACAATTCAATTTGGTGAGTTTATTTTGCACACATTTTCCATAGCAGCACAGACAACCATCAAAAGTAAAGTAACTTGTTTTTCAAACTTTCTAGGTTACTATGTTTATGCAGACAGTTCTGTGGGATCACCTGGAGACAGAATAATGCTGGTCAGTGAAATATTTCAGCCAGCAGTGGAAGGAAGCTGTCTATCATTCTGGTATCATATGTATGGCCAAAACATTGGGAACCTAAGTCTTTACATCAATAACAGGTATGAAAATGTTTGAAATATTACAAAATACTGTATATATTTTCTGAGATGCCACCCAAACATGTGAAAATTTGTCTTTGGGTTTTAAAACTATATTTGTCAAAAGAGATTGACCAGTTTGCTCTGCAAGAAAACTCTGAGGAGCAGTTTTCAGAATTGCCTATATTATGTTGTGGTTTACTAGCTGAATCTTTTCAAGTGTAGGACAACACAGGGAAGTTTTGATTTACATGCCATACCTTTTACAATAATGTGAGGCACTAAAAATATCAGACTTGTTTACTGCATTTATTACATTTTTATATGCACATACACTTCAGTTCATACTTAAGTGTCATTTCGTTATTCACTTTTAGTTCTACATTCTGAAAAAAAGTATTTTTCATTTCTTGTTGCTAGCCCTGGTTCAGTGTATTGTATGTTGCAAATAGTTTTCACTGCATTTCACAAAGCCTTCTAATGTTGTACAGTATGTATGCCAGTTGGAGATGAATGAATGAGTACATATATAAATAAAAAATAAAAATTGCTAGTGCTGGCACTATTAAATATACCAAGAGATCATTCATCACACACTCGGTGCTTACTTCATGATATCTGCATCCAACAAATCTTTTCTGAACCTGTACTATACATTGGGGAGAACAGCAATTCAAAAATATTAACACTGAAATTTAACTTTATTTAAATTATTTTATTTAATTTATTTAAATTTAAATTTAACACTTAAACTATGAGATAAAGATTTTTTTATTGGGGAATTGATTTTAACTTTATTATAATGGATACCTTTTTCTTTGTTGTAATCCATTTGAACTGATTTTTATCAATACTCTGCCTTGCAAACGTATTCATTTTGTCCCATTTTGTTGTATAAAAAAGTTTTCATTTGAATTTTTTTTATCAAAAATATGAATGCGTGAATGGAACACTTGAGAAAAAAGTTACATATCAGTAAAAAGATAAATCAAAACCTGAAATGTATTGATTGTGTAAGTATTTATCCTCCTGAGCCAATAATTAGTAAATGTACCTTTTGCAGCAATAAGGGCTGCAGTATTTTTGCTTAAACGTGTAATTTATGCCATTCTTCTTTATAGCCCTTCTCATGCTCTGTTAAAATTGTTGGGGGTCACTGATAGAAATTTTCAAGTCCTACCACAAATTTTCAATTGGATTCAAGTCAGGATCTTGACTGGGTGACTTAAAGGCATTCACTCTCTTTTTGTTAATTCACTTCACTGTAGCTTAGATTTTTTGCAATAGGTCATTGTTTTCCTGAATGGTGAAATTTCATTTCACTTTGAGGTTGTAGCTAAAGGATGCATGTTGTCCTTTAGGATTTTCCTATACTGTTCTGCACCCATTTTTACCTCAGTCTTCCTACTACCTGCTGATTAGAAGCAGCCACAGAACATAATACTGTCACCATTATGTTTTGTAATAGGGATGGTGTTGACTATGTGATACTATTTAGATATTTAGACCAAAAGTTCCAATTTTGTCATCTGACCACAAAACCATCTACCTCAGGTTTGCAGTACTACTCAGATTATTTTTTTATACAAATTGCAGATTGCAGATCCATGGAGGATTTGCATTTTTTCAGTTCATACAGAACAGTGAGGTGGAGAAACTGGTAGTGTCTATTGTTTTCTCACGGACATTTTCTTCCATCTCAGTCATTTAAATTCTGTAACTCTTTCAGTTGCCATTGGCGTTTTTAACCAGTTTCCTCCTTGATCAGCAGGGACAGCCTGACAAAGAATCTGGGTGGTAAAATACACCTTTTGCATCTTAATGATCAATTTTACCTTGTTCAATTGAATATTCATTGTCTTTTAATATTTAACTCTTCTCTTGATCTGTACCGTTCTACAACGTAATCCTTGAATTTTTCTAAAAGCTCCTTGGTCTTCAACTGTAAATCTTTGCTTGAAATTGCTTGAAATACCTGACTGAGGGACATTTCACAAATGCTGTAGGTGTATTTTTCCGGAATCGAGTGAACCTTAATCTGTATTGCACTCAGAGGCCATTCAACTAATTGTGTGGTTTGTCCAAGTAAATTTTGTGCACCTTATCTAATATAGCTTTACCATATCAAAGCTGGTGAATATGTAACTAGTTGAAATATTTAAAATTTTCTCTTGGCATTTGGCATTTGATTAGTGAGACACCATGCATCAAAGTGTTCATATTGACATAGTGACGTACCTTCTCAACATGTTTCTTCATGTTTAATCATTAGGAATCTTCATTATCAGACCTTGTTAGCATAATTTTGTATGAAGCTTGTCCAGAAAGCACTACCCCACTTTTTCTTTCTTAGTGAAAATGTATTTGATGACTAATTAATTCCAGGGTTCTCTATAGAAATAATTTGAAACTTAGTGACAAAAAGAGTTCAGTTGTACAATGCCAAAAGTTTGTTTTCCCATAGAAATTATTTTTTTCTAAAATGTGGTGCATTACTTTCTGGAAGATCCTTCTATTTCAGTGGCAATAGCTAATGCTCATGCACTTAGCTTACATTAAATAAATTAATCATTTTAATTTTAAAAAAGTATGTTCTTATTTAAAAATATTTTTCCTCACTTCAAAGGACACTCCATACAAATGGAAACAAACTTGGATCTCTGATTTGGAGAAAATCTGGAAATCAAGGGAACAATTGGTCTGAAGGCATGGTTACTGTGGACTTTTGGGAACCATACTGGGTAAGTATTATCAGTTTGCAATTACAATTTGAAATTGAGGGAATATGAATTCGAAATAGAAGGGTGTTATATACCCAGTGTTAATTAAACAGCAGAAACATGAATGTGAAAAAGACATTAGAAATCTTGTTTCTTTTACTTTTATTAATTCTTTTTTTATTCCGAAACACAAATCAAATACTGGCTTTTATATTATGTCGTGAATACATAATTTAGATATATGGAAAAACTTTTAATGGCAAGTCCAGTTCAGCAGAAACAGTGAAAATAGTCACATAAATTCATGATACTTAAGTACCTTTAACATCGTTTCACAGCACTGAGTTTTACCTTTCTAGCTACTTTACCGTACTCATGAGAAAAATGCACATCCACCCACACCTTAATCTCAATAAATGGCCTAGTAAGCTTTTTCTAAGAGATATGGAAATCACTTAACAACAGAAACTGGGAGGCTGCTCTTAAAAGATTTAAAACATCCATATTCTACATTCAAATTACTGTATTACATTTTTTTCAAATTACACTAGTAGTTCAAATGTTTGAACATGTGGATAGAGTTGTGATCCATTAATACCACTGACAGAAAGTCTCAAACACAGGACTGTAGCTTTGCTGAGGAAAGAAATCAGGCACAAAGTTCATTAAAGCTCATTGCAAGAAAATACCATAATCTTAGAAAGGGATATTTGAAAACTGAACAATCTGCTCTGGCTGTGAACATGAAATGCTTCAGGTCATTTCAATATTAATTTCACTTAACATTCTGATGCTTCCTCTGTTCTCATTGCTTCTTAATTTCCTTTCAACAAATTGCATTTTATTATCCGCTTTCCTAAAAGTAGGCCCTTTTATGTTTGTTCTCAATATTATATTATTAATCTTAGTGACAAGATCTGGAAGAGAACTTTAAAGGAGACAACATCAAGATTTTCCGCTTCTATTCAGTTAATGTTAATGTGTTATTTTCAGTGAATCTTGTTTTTTTTTTTATCAGTTCATATTTGTGTATGAAAAAGGATTGGGTTTGATGGGAGATGTGGCCCTTGATGACATACAGCTTCTCCTGGGCTTGTGCTCCACCTCTCCTTCCGTCACAGCTGTGCCAACTCTGCCACCCACTCAGAGTAAGAGAGAATCACTGGGCAGGCCGAACACAGACAGTGCAGGGACAGCATGTTTGGAACAGTATTAAGTTTACCCTAAAAAAGAAAAGTGAAGAACTTTTTAATGAATAATAAGACAAAGTAATACAATTACAGCTTTCAAGTGGAACACACAAACTTCTGTCATTGACCAAATGCTTTCATTGTTTAAATTTAATTTACAGAATATGTGTAAAAACTGGGGGCACGGTGGCACAGTGGTTAACTTTGCTGCCTCGCCTCCCTGGGCCTTTCTGGACCTGGGTTGCTATACAGTATGCGTGAAGTTTTTATGTTCTTCTTGTATTTTTGTGGGTTTCCTTTGAGTGCTCTAGTTTCCTCCCACAGTCCAAAGTCATGCTAGTAGGTTAATTGATTTCTGTAAAGGAAATGGCCCAGTTGCATGTGCGTTTATGTCTGTGCGTTCCTTTTGATCGACTGTCCATGCTACAGTATATCCTGGCATGCACCCGTTGCTAGCTTAGTTAGGCTGTACTAGATAAAGCGGTTAGAAAATGGATGGATGTATAAACGTGTGCGTGCAAAAAAAAAACTTTCATAGACTAGGTTGGACTTTTTCTGGTAATTTATGATAAATCCAAATGATTGTACTAATCATTTATGCGCAAAGAGATAATAAAGGCACAATTACAGTATAAAGTATATTAGCTGTAGTATATTGTTATGTGATGGTGGGTTGACGTGGTTTTAATAAAATTTGAAAGTAAAAATCTAATCAGCTCTGTACATTCACTTATTAAGTAATTTCCTGTTCAGGTCTACCCTATCCACAAACCTCATGTTTGTAGAAAAGACATTATGAGGCACTCTTCCACAACTCACAATGTTATCTACTTTAATTAATGCCTTCTTCTCTGTGCTTAATGGATAATTGTAGCTTCTCATATTTGTAGAAGAAGGGTATAAGGAAACTGTCACCTAATTTTACACTATACTTGAACTTATGAACTCACATATAACTTCTGTTGAGAGTTTACTTTTTATTTCAATTAAATTAAATTGTAGTTTTATAACATGGGTTAATATTTCTGCTGCTGCTTACCTGTCTGACTGTTTTGTTCTCTTCAACACTCCTTCAGCCTTCATGATGGGCCAGGCTCATATTTTATTCTGAAATCTTGTTCAGCATTACAGGACCACACAATGTAATCTTTTGTGTGATAACTTAAATTCTAAGATATAGATAGATATTTATGACTGACAACATTTAGTGTAGATAAAAGGTTTAATAAACGTTTTCCAAAACAAGAGAAAAACAGTTAAATATACTGGTGAGATCTGTAAGCCCTCACAATAAGACTTTTATGTGAAAGATGAAATACTTCTACTGTGTGGAATATCTATTAATCTTTGTCTGAACTCCTGCTCACTGCAGAAGCAGTAAAATAGGTACCTGTCATATTGGAGAATGAGAGAAAAGTAGTCATATTTTCCCTGTCGAGATAATTGCTTCAGAATAGTTTTTGATGGAACAATCATAACCAGCAAGGAAGCAGATAACGTCAAAGGGCACTTTTTTACTGTGTTCTTCTAGTCCTTTCTTAGGAACATTGTGTGCCCTTTTTTTAGTGCCCGGTGCCAATGACTGTGACTTTGAAGTGGACCTCTGTGGCTGGCAGCAGGACCCAAATGAGGGTTCTGATTGGCGAAGGCAGCAGGGGTCAATGGGGACAGGCTCGTTGGGACCAGCAGAAGATCATACTACTGGGAGTGTGAGAGGTGGGCAAATTTCCAGTGTGTCTGATTTTTAATAAGCACAGCTAGCCTTGTGTCAATAGCTTGGTGACTGCTATAATACAATCATGAATAGAATGGGTAGAAAATAACTACCCATTATCTGCATTTCGATCCATGCTTTTGAGCCACACATATATTGAGTTTATGCCTCTGAAGGTACTTGAAAAGATCAAATAATCCACATTAACAAAAGAAAAGGCTTCAGGTCATTGACTCAAACCTTTTCCCACTTTCCACATTTAAAATTGATCATTGATCATAGGACAAGCCTGAAGGAGATTTTGTAAAAATCTTTTGGATTTAAGATGTCTTTGCTGGCACACATCAATACTACTAAAGTTAACAATGGCATAACTTAACCTTTCCACCTCTGTCTTTCCAAGTCATACAGGTAAATGTTTGAAATGGACTTGTTTTATATAATACCAATTTAATACTTATTTTTCCCTGAAAATAAATTTAAATTATAGAACAATAGAACCATAGAAACTGTTCTTTGTAATCAATAGAAAAAGGAAATAACCTAAGAAAACATAACAAACGAAAGAACATTTGCCCACCTTTTTTGTTTGATTGCTACAGTATATCAAGTCAATATACTGTAAATTCAAAGATCTTGTCCACGCATTTCTCAAAAATATCCAGGATGGCTGTTTGTTTTCTGCAGCAGGTTGCAACTTTGATGATCCTGGTTTGGATCAAAATGGTCCTGTTGTAGTAAAGTTTTAAATACCATGTAAAAATGTGAACTTAATTAAAAACTCAAGTGGAACAGACCTGGGAGGACAAAGCCTTACATAACCTTGGAAGACATAAACAAGCCACTCAAGAAAGGAATTGAAGCAAACACTAACCAGGAAAGGTCTAGATATACTGTAAGTGATGACAACCACTGAAAGGAAATAGTAAATAAATATGAAGACCCGTCTCTTGAGACACACCCATAGAGATAGTTTTCTGTGTACAGTGAATCGTCTCTGGGCAACAGTACTGCAAAGTTGATGTGTTAGTTGCTAGATTAAGGAATAAAAAAGAGATAAGAGGTGAACCTTTTTTTATATCTAATTTCCTTGTCTGACTGAGGCATGGAGCAGAGGGCTTCTCTACTTTAACTTGTATCCTCCTTAGTGGATCTGAGACCTGTGGTGAATTCCACAATTCTTCTTCAGTTACTTTGCATTTTCAAGCGAAATTCCACAGTGCTAAATGTGCTTCCTGCTTCTCAGGGAGGTATTGTAACCCCTGTGTGATCCCGACCAAAACTCACCAGTGGGACCCTGGGTTCAATTCCTGACCTGGGCTGCTATCTGCATGAAGTTTGTATGTTCTCCGTGTGTTCATGTGGGGTTTTGCCAGGTGCTCAGGTTTCCTCCCATAGCCCAAAGATATAGTAGGTTAATTGGCTTCTATGACAAACTATTCCTGATGTAAGTGTGTGCATAACTGTGTTTGTGCCCTCTGATGGACTGGCACCTTGGTCAGTTGCTTGCTGACATACACTTCATATTCTTTTGTTGACCATTTAATTGCACAAGAAACAAAAATGTGATGATTATATGTAGAGTTGGTTTTCAAGTATGTGTTTAGTGATTTTTTTCTATATATTCTAAATACCAGGTTAAATTGAGATGCCAGTTGCACAATTTAAAAGATGTAATAAAAAATTTAATTTCTGCTTAACATTTCTTTCTTTTTTCATGCTGATTAAAGGGTACAGCAAAGTTGAAAAAATAACTGATAAAAGGGAATCTGCTAAAATAGTATTTTAATTATTATATGTTATATACAGTAAAATGTTAAGTTATCTGTAGTGCCTTAAAAAGTATTCATCAAGTACTCATCCAGTGATGTCGTATTGTGCTAAATTACAAATGATGTATACAGTACACATTTTTTAGTGAATTAATGTGAAAAATGTGAGTTCTAAAAATCAACAACCTTTATGGGTGTAATAAACTAAAACATGCAAAAGCTAAAAGATGCTAGTTTCATATATATCTTTTCACTGTTTTCTGGCAGAACTATAGTATATTAGTTAAAGAGCACAAAATTACTTTTACTGTTAGTTGAGTGGCCTCTGTCTTTCTACAATAATATTGGTTCACATGATTTCAAAATAAATATATCTCTGTAAGGTCCTTCAGTAAAATAGTGAATTTCCAGAAAATATTCAACTGTGAAAAACAAGAATATGCATTAAAATGATGGAATGGGTAAATATTTTTGCAAGGACCTACAGGTTTACCATAAATGCTGTGCTATAATACCTTTATTCTGACCTGCTCAACAGAGTCACTATTTTGCTATTGGAAATCTCATGGAAATCTCACCCTCATTAAATCTCATGGAAATATGTACTGTATGTCTCTTGTTTCCTCCCACAGTCCACTATCCTGCTGTCTAGATTAACTGGTGTCTCTCAAATAACCCCTGTATGTACACATGTACAGTATGCATACAGTATGTCTGACTTGCGATGGATTCATATCTCATCTAGAGTGTATCCAACCTTTGTCCTAATGACAAACATGACAATAATTATTTATTACTGTTAAGGTTAAGGTACAACATACCTTATTTATTACATAAAATTGTCAACAAGAGAGGTTTCTAGCTGGGTATAATGTAAGACACTTTTTATTAAGGGCAGTATTTCTCCATTTCATTGTAGGTCATTATATATTGGTTGAAGGAAATGGCCAGACTGAAAAAGCTGTTGCAAGAATTCGCTCCCCTCTTGTGGCTGTTGGTCTGGAAGGACTCTGTCTGATGTTCTGGTATCACATGTATGGTGGCAAGGTTGGCTCTCTGATTGTGTCTTATGGCAACGCATCAAATAAGACAATGTTGTGGATGAAGACAGGAACTTGGGGACCACAGTGGAACTATGCACAAGTGAGTTTTTTGTGTTTCTTGTTTTTCTTTTCCTTTCCAGTAATCCCTGGGACTATTTAAGACTGTTTTTTGTCTCTCCTATTATATCAGGAAATAAATATAGGAAAACCAAAATTTAATCTGGAAGCCTTTATCACACAGTGCCAATTTGTTTGGCAAAGTGTGTTTCTAGCCACTACAAGGAGAAATTATTATTATTGGGACATAATATAGTCTTTCTTTTTACAGATTCATATCACTGGTGCTCATAATATCCAGATCATCTTTGAAGGCATAAGAGAAGATGGTGCCATTGCCCTGGATGACATATCATTTAACCCAGACTCCTGCCCTTCAGCTAGTATGTTTTTAAATTTTAAATGCTGCTATTTATTCCAATGTATGAGACCGATAAAAAAGCCTGAAGACATAATTAAAAAATCCATTATCAGTTACTTGAGATAAGAAGAAACCATTGAAAGCTAGCAGTTAGACTCAATGATAATTTAATCAGCCAGCAGCTGTTTGGTCTAATTTCTGCAACAAAGAAAAAAGAAGCAGCATGCATAAACCACAAAGATTAAAAAAAAAACAATTTATGAATAATTCTATTGATAAGTTTAATTTTAAAATATTATATTAAACTTCAGTAATTCAATAAATAATCAAGTAATTCAATAAATTTAATTGGCAACAGGTTTAATTATTATGCCCACAGATTTTTAAACCTTATCACACTCAGGTTCTAAAGAACAATAGAAAAGTACAGCCATTGTGTTACAACAAATTGCTTTGAATTAATGTAGGGCTTTTGCTGAAGAATTTTAGAAAAGAGGGCCACAGTTTGCATCTGAATCTTTCCTCATTAGTCAATAACATGTTGCTTAGTTTACGTAAGTCTTGTCCAAGATGTATATACTATGTCTATACTGTACTTCCAAGAGTGACTCTGAGTTGCCATGTGTTTTAACAGCAATATTGATTTACTGATAACGGATAAGTAGATCCATTAAATGATTTAACACTGTTGTTTGCATTATAGACACTGATTCTGTTAATTTCAAGTTCAAATGAATAATTTTGTGAAGCATTTGTTACATTACCTAAATATAATTACTAAAGGCTAAACTATATTTTACAGCACAATTAATCAGCAAGACAGATTAGTTGTATTCCATACCTTTCTGACAGTGATTCATTAAAACACCTTTTCTTAAGAAGCTAAGAAATGTTACAAATCATGAAGAAGTCATTAACCCCTTCTAACACATCTGTTATTAGTTATTAATATTAAGTAGATAGTAGTAATTACCTGAAGGATCTCATCCAGCCATTCTTGAAAAACCAAACCACTGTCTTCAACATGGTTTAGTAGCTTATTGCATACTTCCACAACCCCTTGAAGTAGAGAAGTACTGAGACTAAAAGCACTTCAACATAGTTTCCACTTCTGTGCACTGGTTCATGTTTTGCTGTTCATTCTGAAGAAGTCTGCTGGATTGACTTTGTTGATGCCTTTGAGGATTTTGAATACATATTGTAGCACATACGGTCGACATTAGAGGTTGTGCGAGCCGGCTTACCAGTGCTGTGATGTCACCACCCGTCCCTGTGAATAGCAGGGACTGCACCCGCCGGGCTGATGGGAGATTTCTCTTTGGCTCAGCTGGCTGGGTCCCTGTTGAGTGATGCCGGAGGCCCAGGTTCGAGTCCCCAGCAGTGGGGGGGGCTGACCTGAGGCGGCAGCGGTGAGGGTGCATACCCACATGAACCCGAGAGCCGCTACAATATATCACATCCTCTCATAGTCTTCTCTGTTCAAGACTAAATTGGTTAATTTCTTTTAGCCTGTCAATATAGGACATTCCTTTAAGCTGCTTTAAGAATCTGGATTCTCTTCTCTGTACTGATATATATTTCAATAACATGGTTACCAAATTTGTACACACTCTTATAATAAATGAGGCCTTACTAGTACATTCTTACATTTTTAACATACATCTGTTGATTGTTATATTATGCTTTTAACTACTATATTGTACATAACAAAAGACTTTTGTTTGCCTTTTTGATTGCTTCTCTGGATTGTCTAGAAGATGTAAGCAATGTGTCAACATAACCAGCTAAGTCAGTTTCATACGTATCATTGATAAGCATGTCATTTTGTTTCAGGAGAGTGTGACTTTGAGAATGGGGTGTGTGGCTTTACCCAGGACAACACTAATGATTTTGACTGGATTCTGGAATCTGGTTCAAATAACCCCATTGGCCCTCTGATTGATCACAGCTATGGCAGTGAATATGGCCATTATATGCACTTTGCAACACCAACACCTCTTCAATCACCAGTCAAGGGTTACTTGGACAGCCCAACATACCTGCCTTCCAGATATTGCTTGAAGGTAACTTCAAAGCCCACATATAACTAGTTGTGTAGCATTCATATTCATTCTCACTTACTGTATGTTACTGTCTTCACCATTTTGTATCCTCCCTGCAGTTTTGGTATTACATATCAGGCAGTGGTGTGAGGTCCCTCAGAGTATATGGGAGGAGACTCCAGACACTCTTCAAGTCAATGTGGAGCTCAGAGGGGACCCAGGAGGATGAGTGGCTTGTAGCCCAAGTTGACATTCACTCTCCTGCTGCCTTTCAGGTACTGTATCTGAGTCTGTAACTGTATTGAACAGACAGGCAAGTCCATTCAGTTACATTTCAGTGTAGCTCACCTTGTCCGCATGCAGGCTATGATTAACTGTGACTTGAAGCTGTATTATGAGGAGAACAATACAGTGAAAGAAAGAAATGAATTAGTGCTCATTCACCATACCTGCAGTGTAAGGAGCTAAAGACAGAAAAGGTGAAAATGCTGTAATTTCAGGTATCTTTCAGCTTTGTTGTTCTGAGGTTTCCTATAGCTGAATACTTGTGCCAGGACTATGAAACTGTGATGGTTCCTTTTAAAACTACAGTTCTTCATTCATTCTGTCTTTTGTTCACACTAAAATCCCTTGAGACCATAACTCTTTTTGATAAATCAGTGCCTGAGCCTAGTCTCAAAATGAAGAAAACCGCAACCACAAGGCCCATTCTGTTGTGTTGTGTATAGGCTTGGCTATTACTAAACTACACCTGGATACTTTTCTTTTCATGCAGTTTTGAATGGATGGGAGCACTGCCAGTTTACTTCTTTATTGTACCATAACATACTGTATCAGACAGCTGCAGCTTCTTCCATTACTGATTTATTACTCCTACTATACTATAATATTATCTGCTTTGTCTTAGGAAAAACACAGGGAAACACAAAACTAGTTTTTAGACATGTTTACAGGTATACTGAGCATCAAAAGAATCTTACCATTTATACTGTAACTGTATTTACTGTAGCTTCTTAACTGTTTTATCAAGAATTTACCATTTGTTTCATAGCAAGTGCACTGACATTTTATTGAAAATACGCAATTAATTCATTTACATTTGTCATTCAAAGTGGGTCTATTGTGAAAGTCACAAGCTGGTATTATGAGTGGTCACCATTAGAAACAATACAAACTGTACATCTGTGATGCAGGCTTTATGCCAAATTGCAAATGTTTTCTTATGTTATTATGTCTATTACAAATTATAGCCTGGCAAACGCATATGCCTGTTCTGCCTGTTCTGCCTGTTCACTGGTCCCTGAGTCCTAGATGCCACAAAATGTCACACTTTTGTTTTCAGTTAGAAAAAAAAAATCCCTGTTTTACAGTTTGCCATGTTGTTCTTGATGTAGTTTTGAACAATTTTCATTGCACTTTTCATCACATCAAAAGCTGTTTGGAGCCATCTGTGATTAACATAACAAAATGTAGTCAATCTTTCTGGTCATAATATTATAGTTATTTGAATTGCTCAGGGATTCCATTTTACTGAACTAGAGGGGAACAAATATATTGGTAAATGTAAAACAGGCTTTCTTGCTTTGTGCAGCCACTGCAGATTATTGAATATCTGGATATTGTTTTTTTCTCTTACCTGAATTGGATTTTAGTATACTGTAGTGGTTCATTTTTTCAATAAACAGAGCACTGGAATCACATTTTATTTTTAAGCAAAATTGAAACGAATGCAGGCATGAAAGGTGCCCTCAGGGTTGTTTAATTTTGATAATTAATTCATAGTCTATTATTCTATGTATAAAAATATCTGTTGTTTTTATTATTGTCATTCATACAGTCTGAACATATTTATAAAACTGCTTGTTCAAAGGCTTAATGGGTATAGTTCCCATGCACTATATATACTGTAGTATATATTCTAGATACTCCATTTAACTAAATAGCAGGATCTGCAAATATCCATACATTGAGGTTCAAAAGAAAGTTATCAGACAAGATCCTTATCAGTTAATTGATAATCCTTTTTGTTGTTGGTCCACTGACATTTTATTAAACAAATCCGACAGAGGTAAATTGATTCTTCTGATTAGTTATTAACACAGCTGATCAGCTGGAAGTGTAAGTTAGAAGCTAGCCGATTATGGCCACAATTGGAAACTGTACCTGTGTTAAACCTATGTCCAGGATGCAGATTCTCTCTTGTGGGATTCTGTCCCATTTTAGAGACCAGGCAAGTATTCCTAAGTATTCAGTTTTGTACATTTTCTGTGTACAGGTAACATTTGAGGGGAACATTGACAGTGGAGTGATGAGTGTTATAGCTGTGGATGATATTGATATTCGAGAAGGGGGTTGCATACCATTGGGATCATGTGATTTTGAAGATGACTCCTGCACTTGGAAGAATGCTTTTGAGCTTGATCAGTTTGAGTGGCAAAGACGGACTGGCCATTCACACACTGATGCTTCAGAGCCAGAGACTGACCATACACTGGGAACAATATTTGGTGGGTATTTCTTGTTTATAGTTTGATTACATTAATTACTTTTCTGTCAAAATAAAACAATAAAGAATCATTAATCATTTTTGCATATTGAACAATTTTTGCACTTAATAATAGTTTATGGCCAGGATGGTTGGGATCCTGAATGATGGATTGGGCTTTAATGCGACAGTAGATGGTGTGAATCTCATCGATTGATGGTAAATCACATCCTGTAATCCTCTGTGCCATTGCCACAACCCTTTGTAGTGCGTCTCTGTCATGCATGGTAGTATTGGTGTATCATACAGTGATGCCACTATTGAGGACACTTTCTATTCTGCTGCAGTAAAAGTTCATGACTAAATGCTTCACCATACCACACCTCAGAAAGTGCAGGCACTGTTATGCCCTTTTCAGACTGGCTACACTGTTGTGAGACCAAGCCATGTTGGTGGAGATCTGCATACATAGGAACCTGAAGTTGCTGGCAGTTTCCACTGCTTTGCCATTGATGCTGATTGGAGCATGACTCCTTTTTGGTCTCCTGAAGCCCACAATGAATTATTTTGTCTTATTGACATTCAGGGCCAGGCACCATATTGTAAGATGCTTAAGAGTCTGGCATAGAGCAATTTATATATGACAATACTAGGCTTTCCAGGTACTTCATGGTCACTGAAGTAAGTGCCACTGGGCGGTAATCATTCAAACAAGTTACCTTGGTCATCTTAAGCAGTGGTACATTTGTGTTTCTTCTTAAAGGACTCTGGTACACAGATGACAGGGACAGAGTTTAAAAATGTCTGTATACACAGGAGATAGCTGGTCTACACAGGTTTTAAGCACATGAGGGAACACACCATCTGGGCCGGCTACTTTGCGGGTTTTCACTCTCTTTAAGGCTCTACGCACCTCATGCTTAGAGAACTGTTACACAAGGTCCCCTGGTTTACTGGGAGCCTTGAAAGCAGGCTTGGTGTTCTGAGCCTCAAAGCGTGAGTAAAAGGTGTTCAGGTCATCTGGTAGAGATGCTTCAGTGGAGGAAATACTGCTTTATGGTTTGTGATAGCCTGCAAGCCTTGTCATGTGCGCCTTGAGTTGCTCCCAAGCTGTTTTTCTAATTTGTCCTTGTATTTCTGTTTTTCCAGTATAATAGGTTTCTCCAGGTCGTACCTTGATTTTTTTATACAGTTCTCTGTTACCTGATTGGAATCAGCAGACTGCGAATTGAGTTTGCAGTGAATATCTTTGTTTATCCAGGGCTTCTGATTGGGATATATCCGGATCTTCCTGGTAGGAACATGGACATAGGATGTAGGATGTAGGATGTGACCACCTCTGTATACTCATTTAGATCAGTGGAAGAATCTTTGAATACACACCATTTAGTCTGCGAGTTCTTGCTCAACAGCGTCTGAGCAGCGCTCCATAGTCTTTACTGCAGGTGGTGCACATCTTAGCGTCTACTTGTAAACAGGTAGAAGGAGCATGGAGGCGTGGTCAGACTGAAATGCGGCCGTGAAATGGAGTGGTATTCTCCATTTGGGGCAGAGTGGTGGCACTGTGGCTAAGGATCTGCACCTGTGGCTGGAAGGTTGCTGGTTTGTTTCCCACAAGCGGCAGAGAAATCCTACTCCGTTGGGCCCCCGAGCAAGGCCCTTAACCCCAGCTGCTTCAGGGGTACCGTATAAATGGCTGACCCTGTGCTCTGACTCTAAGCTTCTCCCCCTGTCTGTGTGTCTCTGGGAGAGCAAGTTGGGGAATGCGAAAGAAGACACATTCCTCATACAAGAAATAGTATATGGCCAATAAAGTGATCTTATCTTATCTTCTTATGTTCTTATGTTTTTTAACTTGCAGAACAACATTAAAAAAATACATTTTACAATGACTTCTTAAATATGTTTTGCATTATATACTATATACTGTAAATACTAAGAATATGTGATTCCTATTTTTAGTCTTCTGTCTTGAAAAATGAAATGCCTGAATAATTATGATCTGTGCTACATTGTAAATATAAATAAACATTCCTTAAAGAATAATTTCTTAATTATAGCACTTGATGTCTAATTAAGTATGATAGAGATCACACTAAATCTTAGCAAAACACTGTACTTTAGCTGGATATGATATATCAAACATAAACATTTGTCATTGGCAATATTGCCTGTTCTCTCCTTTTGTTAGCAAACATAAGCAGAGAGCCCTGCTGTGTTATAAAATATTTCATAATAATGCCAGTACTGGGTGTTTCTGTTGGTTGCTTTCATCAGGCACTTATCTTTTAATGGACACCTCTCCTCCACGAGTACAGAACGATACAGCTTGGCTACTGTCACCTTTTCTAGAGTCTCCAATGATCCACTGTGTCAAATTCTGGTACTACATGCAGGTGAGGGAGAGAACAATCCACATAATATCAACATTTATGAAACAAAGCAGCACCGCAAAGACATGTTTATCAGATAGGCAATACACGCTTGCTGTGTATTACAGTATTTTCTAGCTAATTTTAAAATTTCCTTTGGGAACCTACTAAAGATTCTCACAGACATCCTGTGCTATTTGTTTTTGTGCTATAAATCTACAATTAAAAAGGGTGTGACATTAAGTCACATTAGCTTCTCAAACAATATTCTGCAAATATGAGCAAGCATGCACCCTATACCTTTATATACTCATTTATATATGTTAGTTGTTGTGCTAGAGAAGTATTACAAACAAAATCAGCCACAAAATGATACCAGGCTTGTTATTAAGTCTGAGAGTGGGAGTAAAAGAGAAACTCTGGATGAAACCCTCCACTTTGATTCATTTAATAATTGAAGAATGAGCTAGTTATGCTGAAAACTGTTTCATTAGCTGTTTTGATATTTCATATTGTTTTTTAAAGTGAAACTGCACCTTTCTATGATGTACATAGAGATGGCCTTTTTACTGCAAAGATGTGTATTTTTGTGATGGTTTGATGGTTTCTTCCAGGGCAGTGACATAGGCTCTCTGACAGTGAAACAGCAGTGGGCTGATCACTCAGTTGTGGATCTGTGGACAAGACATGGAAACCAGAGTGAAAAATGGCTTCAAGGCTTTGCACTAATGTCGATAGATAAGCTGGAAAAGTACAGGGTAAAAGCTTACAATATATTTTAATTTAACAAATCTGAATCATTTTTTTACTTAATATATACATGTTCCATGATGAAGTTCAGAAGCCTGCCAGTTCCTAAAATCACACATTTCTGTTGTGCCATCATGAAGGGAGCCATGTTGGGCACGGGAACATTGAATAAATGGCAGGATGGACATAGTGAAGAGGTGTTGAGTGGAGTGGTTGTCTGCGTACATCATTGTTAGAATTGCTTCACTATTGTCCACTGAGAAGAGGCAGAGATTGACATGAGATTGACATGAACTCCCTTCTCAGTAGCTCAGTAGCTCAATGTCCACTGAGTCCACCATGTATGAAAAGGTTCTATAATTAAGCTACTGATAAATAAAATTTAAGACAGATTTCAGACAAGGGGAGAAACAACAAAAAGTCAAACAAAATTCTAGTGCATAGAACATATATATAATGCAATGTAAATCAAAGAATGTAAAATTTTAAAATACACTACTTACTGTAGACCCTATTTAGTATATAGTGTACAATTTTGGTCATTAGAAAATAAAAAGGAGTCTGTCCAGAGGAGCACATCAAGATACTGTACATTCCTTTAAGAGCTTAAAGGAAGTCTACGACCTTATCCAAATACTTAAAATCCTTAAAAATATTGACAAAGTCAGCCCAGTAGACTTCATAATCAACAGTAAAACGTGAAACTGAGGACAAAAGTGAAAACTATATGGATGTCTATATATAAAAAACAAGAATAGGTGACACTTTACACAACCAGCTTTTGGATTAAAGTACAAGCTACCCAGTCATGCCAAAGCCAAAGCCTTGGATTCTTTCAAAAGCTGGGTGGACAAGAAACTTAGATCAAATATCTACTACTTATCTACTACTAAATGGATGAGACGGGCAGGACTTCTCAAAAAAAAAATATCAGGCTTGAGTTCTCGGTAGTATATTGGGTTATGTTCAGCAGGGTTTGAAACGCACTCTGATGATTTCTATATTTGTTTTAAAAATATAGCTCCTCACAGAACTACTTGCTTGAGACACACAGATATCTTGCACTTTTCAGAAGATAAGAAAGACAACTTTGAAAGAAATTGTTTACATCACAAAAGATTCTTTGTTATCATTATTCTGATTATTTGATTTTTTTCCTTTTTCATTAGGTCATATTTGAAGGTGTGGTTGGAGGTGGTCCAAAGGGTGACATTGCCATCGATGACCTGTCCATTGAGTCTGGCACGCTGTGTTTGACTGAGCCCTTACCTCCCCCATCCTGCCAGTTCCAGTGTGGAGGAGGGTGGGGACAATGTGTCACGCTGTCCGAAGTCTGCAACTTCAAGACAGACTGTGAAAGCACAGCTGATGAGACATTCTGTGGTAAGTGGAATCAACAAAGTTTGAAAATGTCATCTGTATAAGAGGAAATATGAAGACATTGTACCAGACATGCTGGATAAGAATATAATGAAATAAGTTCATCCTAATTTGTTCAAGTTTAATAATGTTTGTCATACATACCTTGACTATTATACCTTCATTCCCTGTATGTATGTAAATCACTATGCAAAAATGCACAGCAAAATGCTTATATAAAATAAACATCACAGGTAATTAGTTATATTTTATGCTCAAAAGTGTGGAAAAACTATATTCTTCTATATCTCATGCAGTTGCCCATACTTCAACTGAAATACACAGAAAACAGATTTCTGAACAAGATGTTTCTTTCTTAACAATACTGTATATGTTTTCTGGGACAGTTTTTCACTATTATTGGTACCATGTTTCTACCTCAAGGATCCCTTAGATTAAGGCTTTGTTCAGTAAGAATCTGACTGCATCAGAGGCGTGTAGACGCCAGATGACAGGGGTGTTACGATAGATCCAGTCACCAAACCATGGAGTAAAAAATCATGTTTAGTAAAGCTTAGCTGTCAGCCACACTTGCATGTTGCAGAATGGAGAATTGAATGCATGATTGCTTTCCTTTTCCTGATGAATTTAGAAATCTCTTCTAATACCTTCTCTAAAAGATGAGAAAGAAATATAGAACTCAAAAAAATATGTGAGCAAGGACACATTCATTTTTATTTTAAAATTTTTTGTTCACAGAAGTAGGAGTAAAATTAGTATATGTGGGACAGTTTGAGCTAGTGGTTCCAAATACAAAGCAAACAATAGCGGTAAAATTATTCCTGATTATTTTCCATGATTATCACTTACAAGAGCCCCTAGAGGTGGAAAAATGTGACAAACGCTTGATGGAGTCTATAACAGAAGTTTAGGAGGAAAGTTAGATTCTACACACTTCTGTTTGCCTATGTACAGTATGTAAGTCTCTCACCCAGGACTTAATTTCTTCCACATCTCCCCACCACCCCATATACACCCTTGCAGAAAAGTCTACAGTATGGTTTCTCAGATACAGCAATAGTGAGGAGTGGCTTGGGCAGCTAGGCTGCCATTCCCTCAGCTAAAGGCAATGAACATTATCAGATGTAAAACACCCTTTAGTAATAAATGTCTGATCATATTGTACTAATTTTGTCATAGCATACTGTACTACTTTGTGTCAGAGCAAACCCCAACTTTACCAGAAACACCCCCAATCCCCTCTGTGTCAAATAACTCTTATACCACTATGATGCAGTTTCCCCCCCATTTCAACAGTGAAAAACAGCAGAGCAGAAGCCTCTTTCAGCAACACAATGAAAGAATGTAAATATAATTTTTCATTTAATGATCGAACACTGCTGACATGTAACTGAAGGGTCTCTAGGAAGCAAAGACAAAATCTAACAGCCTGCTAACATTTAGCACATAAATTATTTTCAATTTACAATTGAAAGACTAATTCTTCAGGCATTGTTTCTTTTTTGTAGCATTTGGCATGTACACAATTGTGGATATAAGTACTTAATGAAAAAATCATTGATCGCTCCAGCAGAACTCATCCTCATGCTTGTTGCATTTATTTACTTATAAATAAAAACAAGTCAGTTAAAACAAGAACCGTTAGATGTTTGTTCTGTATGTACATCAAATTGATGATTTAATGAGTTCTTATAAATTCAACACTACTTGCAGACAATATAAGATGTGTGCAAATCAACCTTTATTTTAAGGATTCAGGGAGCCATGAAGCTTGTGATGACATACCTGAGTAGAACTACGGCACTAGCATTACAAGGTCCAAAGCCAATTTAATGAGTTGAATGTCAGTTGAACGTGGTATTAATTGATACCAGAAATAAAACTGTGATACTTTCGGTGGTTTTAAAGTTGATAGTCATTGTTAGCAACACCGGCCTTTAAGAATTTCTGACAATTAGTTTACAGTGATCTGCAACTGCAACATTTATAAAGAAGTCAGATCACACATTTTTTAACTCGGCTTTCGGTGACTCAGGTGTCAGGAAATATGAGGACTCAAAATCCATTCATGTTTATTTCCAGTTTGTTCTGCACAGTTCAAAACAGTTTGCTTTCTAGCTGTTGTTCCTACTTAGCTAAAAAAAAAGTTAAATTATTTTAACTTTCCAAAATGGTTACTTTTAATGAAAGTTTGTAATTGTTTAGGGGACAAGGCTTTTAAAGATTGCTGTTAGGACGAGTATAACAGTGTGATTATTCATGCAGAACTGTGATGCAGTGGATTCTCATTAAACTACTAAGGTTTGATACCAAAATCAATTTTGTCTCAGAAAATATATTTTTTGGCAAAGAATGAGAATATTAGCTACATTTTTCCATTTGAGTGGTTTATTTAGGGTCAGGCCATTTTTCACATAATTATAATGGAGATCTACAGTATAATTTCTCAGACACTATAAAAGTCAGTACTGCAGAGAATGGATAATTATTCTTCTGTTTTCTGCATGTGAAATTAGCTGTTGTAAAGACTCTTATTTATTCTACACCATCAAATGAAGCACAATATCAGTTCATGTGTTTAGTGACTAGTAACTTAAAGCTTCAGTTTTATTTCTTGGATTTGTCTATTTCTGCTGCATTTTGGTATTAACTGAAAATTAGCTTTTGACCAAGGTAATGCAAGAGCAAACGAAGAGTGAAATCACTGTATATAATAGCCTTTTTTGATTTTCAGTTTTTTCATTATTACTTTTTTTAATTCAATGTGGCTTTAAAAATACCATGCCTGCTAGCTTCTTTAGAAATATGAACTAATCTGAAAGCTATTTAATTAAAATGGTAATCAGTTGCAAACGTTAAGATGTTTATTGGTGAATATTCTAGATAAGGAAGGGATAAACATACTCATGAAGTGCCTGGGCCTGTCTTGCATAACACTGCTTTTCTATAATGTTCCATGTACCGTTGGGATTTCAGTACACAATAAAAGGATTTTAGTGAGAGGTAAAGGGCAAATCTAGGACATAATGCACATTATTTTATTAGAACAGCGGCGATTTCAGTTTCAGGTCACAAAGTGTTGCTTTCTGTTGTGTAATGATATGTAAAGTGAAGAAAAATTGCTATCAAGATCAGCATTAGCAACTGAATGGTATCATCTTGATTTTTAGTTTGCCTTATATTGTACTCTTATTCGAGTCCTTAAAATTGCCCTGGTAACCATTTTGACCCAAGGTAAAAGATTCTATGGGGTAAGCCTTGTATCAACACCTGATGCTACAGTGGCACTTACAACCGCTGCACATCTTGAAAAGTCAACTAAACCTTGAAGTTAGGTCTACAACCAAGAAAGTCCTGGTAATAAGACCCTTATTTTAACCATTGGACCTATTAAATACTCAAGTAAATAATTAAAGATTTGCAAAGTTACTGAATATTTTATACTATAATAGAGTACTGAATACTTATTGGTATTGTATCTCTGTTTTTATTTTCATTTTAAAAGGTTATGATTGCACCTTTGAAGAAGAGGGTGCCTGCGGATGGAGTGATGACAGTCAGGGTTCTTACAGATGGCATATTGGCAGTGCATCAACATCTGAATTGAATTTGGGACCCAATTATGACCACACCACACTAACAAGTCATGGTACTGTATGTACAGTTGTGTTCTGTCCCTCACTAACACAGACACAGATTCTGGGGGGGTATTGTGAGAGATAGATATAGATAGATGCTCTTGCTGACTTCATTAGTCAGGCAGTTTAAGGATGTTAAAACATTTACTTATTTGCCTGAAACTTTGTTTTAAATAATGAGGAAAATGGATTTGGAATGAATTTGGAGCCCTGCAGAACCAGCAGATTTTTTTGGAGGGTGCAGTCTATTACTATTACTCCTGAGTTCTCCATCAATTGAATCAATATCTCTTATCTTCTCATCTCCCTATAGTGAACTGATGAGGTTTCTGACACTGAATAGGGAAAGCTACAGCTGCTTATGTAGATTTACAGCACTGGTTAGCAAACATTTGTTCCAAAATTTTGGACTGAATGGAAAATACAAATAGATTTAAAACTAGGCAAAAGGTTTTCAGCTTCTTTTTTCTTGTAAAATAGCAACTCGCTATTTTATAGCAGTATAGTTTCTTAATCTCCCGATTGTTTTACAGGTCACTATATCTATGTGGATACTAGATTTGGTAGTGAGGGAAGCCAGGCTATTTTACGGAGTCCCCAGCTGAAGCAAGCCAGCGCCACATGCCAGATTGTGTTCTGGTATCACATGGAAAGATCAAAGACAGGAGCCCTCTGGTTATCCCATGTCATTGGTAAGAATGTATTTTAATTTTTGAGCACAGTTTATGTATGTCTGAGGGTTTTAAATGTAAATGGTGATTTTTTAAAATGTTTGTAGCAAGTACCATCATATTGGGTGAGACAATATAATTGCCGGTTCATTTAATGAAATATTGTATTACTCCACGAAGATTTGCAGATTTGCTTTGGCCAGTTTGTCAGTTTAAGAAACAAAGGATCCAGTGCAAAGTGGTATGGATAATCTGAGAAGAAACAGAGGTCATGAGGACACTGATGTCTAGTAATATGTGATCGTCTTGTACCCTGACAAATGCCTGAAATAGTCATGCCTGAGTCTTCAACTAACCAACACATCTCAAAGGTGCTTGTGGGAGATGTCTGCCATGGTCTGTGGTTCTTACCTGATGATAACCCAAATATTCCCAAGGTTCATTTGGGTGAACACCTTATGTGCGAGGAGGAATGCCTGTATAGTCCTTGCTTTGTGGGTCAAGCATTCAAATTCAAACAGGTTACATGGAACTACGATTTAAAAGAATCCACTCTGACTGGGCTTTAGAATTAGAATGTACAGCAGAAATGTGATTTTCTTCAAAATACAGTGTATATATAAAATATTTAATAAACCTTTATTCAAAATATTCTATAGTTTGAGATACTTAAATGCTGCAGAATCCTATTTTTTAAAATACACATAATTATAATGCATAGTGATGCCATGAAAACCCTTTATGTTATGAAATTATGGAGTCTAACCAGATTTACCCACCTGTAAATAAAAGTGTCACGCCCTCTGCAGCCAGAGAGCGCTCCTACTCTGTCCTGAACCTAGTTTCCTGTGCTTTGCTGTCCTTCCGGTGTCTCTCTCTCTGGGGCTATATATTTCCATGTCTCTCATTCCCCTTGGCTCAGCATTGAGGTTTGGATGTCCTGAAACCCGCCTAGCACCAGGTTGCCCCACGTCTGCTACCTGAGGGCATAGGTTTCTTTATAGCATTTCCTGAACAGCTGAGCCCGGGCTAACCCCCGTCTCGCCGCTACGCATAGGGTCTTTTTCTCTCTCCTGCCATTCCAAGGTTCCACGGTTCGTCCCTTCCGACATCTGTGACAAAAAGAGAAAATAAGAACTAGGTAATCAAGGATACTAAAGGTTAATGGGTTTTTCGCTTTGACTAATGGAACCTGCTACACTGCTTCAAGCAAAATAAATCCATCCAGAGAAACCCATATGAACCTTCTTTTGCTTCTTTTGTTTTGTAAACCTGCTGCCTAGAATTTACTTAGGGAGCCTAAAGTCTTAAAGTCTAAAGAATTTTAACAATTTAACAGAGCATATACAAGTTTTCCATTTATTTATTGGGATATTTTCGATCCATGAAGCTGGTGTTCTGAAAATACTGTATATGGGGACTTTAAATAAATCTTGCTCTCTTTATATATTTTTTTTCTATAAATGTTTAAATATCATGTGAGACTATATATATACCCTATTTTCTTCCTCCTGATTGTGGCCCCACAACATTGTATTGGGATTGATAAAAGTAAAATTCCAACAAATGTTTTGGTGTTTTAATTTCTACTACATCAGCCTGAAAGAAGAAATTGAACTAAAGACCAAGTACTTTTACCATTAAAAGGAATATGTTGTAGTACAGAAATTCTTGTCAAGTCTTATTGCAGAAAATTATAAAAAATGTGCTTTTCATAGGGTTCTAGTCTCTGTCTCCCAGGTTGGGCAATGAGACTACGACGTTTAACAAAAAGTTCAGATTTTCCTGTACTTTAAGCTTGATTGCGCAATTAGACCTATAAGTTGCTTTATTCTTATTTCTGCTTTTACTTTTCTCAGTCTGCCATTCAATCCATTCACCGACAAGCATTAGCAAATGGTTACTCACTATGAGTTCCTACAGCGCTTTTGCGTCAGGCTAACAAAATCCAACATCAGTTCCATGATTTCAGGTTATGCCTTCTGGGTCAAAACAGCACCTTTCACAGTCTTTGTGAAATCCCTGCCTGTACCAATTCAATCCTAGATTAGTGTTCCTCTAAAAACATGATTATCCCAAACACCCTGATAAACCAAAAGCCAGCATACCTCAGGTTCTGCATTGGTGTTATTCACTTGCTTTGATCTCTTTTTGGGATCTTGTCAGCCTTGACTTTATGGTCAGGCTGCCATTTCCTCAGTCAGGTGACCCAAATTTGAATCCCTAAAAATTCTATTTGTGCTGACTCCAGAGCCACAACATGTAACCCAGACACAGTACATCACCAGCTTAGGAGCATGTGTTTCGGTGGTCTGTCACTGTTATTGGCTTTGTGAGCCCCTACGGGATCATGTGATATACTTGTGGTCCCCATCTGAAGAAACCTGCACGGTCCTAATAGCACAGTTTCCATTTGCACAATCACTTCAGTTTGTCTACCCACTTCTATGGTCCCAATCTACAGTCTTCCCCAGGAGGGACAGAATGGGTGCAATCCAATATAAGACTCCCCAAAAACTCTCCATTGCAAAAATAAACGTTTCAGTATCCTGCCGTGGACCATTCTGACATGCATAATCTGGCTTTGCCCTTTATGGTTAAGCTTTCCTTCTCTGGAACATTCTGCACGTTACCTGGCTTAGCCCTTTTACTTTTCCACCTATCCACTATCTACTGTATACTATCACACCATCATCCCATTGTCTTGTCACATAAATCAGAATTCAACCAAACTACTGAATTATGATTTATAGCAAACATTGAAAGGGAAGTATTAGTTGTGAAATATGATTATCAAACTGATGCAGTGGATATATGTATAGGTATTATTTTACAACAATAATTCATGGTTATGGTGTCTTTTAAGAGTAAGGTGTTGCTTTACTTACGTATAGGTAGGCATAGTATGGAGATTAGCACTCCTGCCTTTCATCTCTTGGTTCAGTTCTCTTCTTGCTTGATGTGCCTGTAGCTGTTTGCATCTTATCCTGTTTGTGATCCCTGGTCTGTCTGTGCTACCATTTTTTCTGCTTGTACTGTACATCCCTAGAGTGGATCTACAGACTGAACCAAGTAATATCAGGTATTTCATTCTGTTCTATGAGTACATATGACCTTCTTTGCACCTGGATGTTGACATTCTAGGAGCTATAGAATTGGTAAAGGCATGCATATTACTGAGCTATAAATCTTTTTTGTTGATCTTCTAAAACCCAGTCAGGGCTTGTCAGTCCCAAAAATGTGAGTAACATTTATTTCTTTCCTTTAATTATAGAATCCAGAGATACTCTTCTTTGGAGCCTGTCAGAGATACAGGGTGATGTGTGGAGGAGAGAGGTGGTTCCTCTGGGTAGGATTGTCCATGAGTTCCAAATTGTGTTTCAATCTCATGTGTCTACTGTTCTGGAAGACATTGCCCTGGATGACATCTCTTTTGAAAACTGCGCCTTACCAGGTACAAATTTAACTTGTTACAAATTATGCTTTTTTTGTGGGATGTGCACTGATGATGAGGAGTTCTGAAGTTTGTCTTTTGGTCATGTAATTTTTTTGCTTTGAACGCACTTCCTAAGAAGACATCTTAGAATCTTTTTAATTAATTTAGGATGAGATCATAAGGTACAAATACAAAATACTTGAATAAAATTTTGATACAGTTGTGGTGTTTCTATATTTTTTAGTTGTAGTAAAATAAAAAGAGGGTATAGTATTATACAGTTAGCTTGCCGTTAATATACAAAAAAATATGATATGCAAATGAATTATTCTACTCCTTCAATGTTTGAATTATCAGCCGTTATTCCAGTTATAGATGTTGGCCAGCTCTGTATTCCAGAGACCGTGAACAGTGAACTGCTAACTGCGGGCAACTCCATATCTGTGACTGCTTTTTCATTTTCAAAACTTTAATAAAAAATCATATTTCATATATTTATGAAAAACAAGTTTGCTTTTACTCAAGTATGAGTTTACCCAAGAACAATGTCCAGGTATGTTTATGGACTTAAAGTAAAATTGTACACCAAAAACTGTCTAAAAGAACTAAATCTTTTTATCCTCGAACAGAGAAATATGTGAATTGACCTGATTCAAGTACTCAAAATCCTGAAATGCACTGAAAAGGTCAATCTAGTGGACTTCTTCAGAATTACCTGTAAAACAAAAACTAAAGATCAAATGTGCTCTTCTAAAAACTGCATGGAAGTGCATTTAAAGCTGAGAAAAGGGTCCTGAGTGTTTGGACCAGGCTTGATAGTGGTGTTACCAATGTCTTTAAAGAATCAGCTGCATGAGATCCTCTTATCACCCCCACTATCAAACAAATGAGCTAATGAGTTGAATGGCATCCTCTTTTTGCAGCCTTTCCATTCTAGTGTTCTGATTGTTGGCTTTTTATAATCTACCCATACTATTTTAATGTGTTCTTAAGTTTAATTGTGAAAATATAAGTGTGCTTGAGATAGCACTGATAATCTCATTGATTTGAATAAGAAGTACAAACAGTATCTTTTGTTCTGAATTAAGTCACATATTCATGTCCGTGTGATGTGTTTGATATTTTCCAGAGTTTAAGCCACAGTGTGTTGAGCAAGAGTTCCGTTGTGGGAGAGGGTCATGCGTGTCTGCAGATCGCCTGTGTGATTTCACTGATGACTGTGGGGACAACACTGATGAAAACAACTGCGGTAAGCTCCAGCCCAGGCCTAAGGAATCAATCTAACTTAACAGAAACTGAGCAATTAAACCTCTTCTGGTTAATACCAGCATTAGCTTCTTTATTTTGTTATTGTATAGGATGTTGCAAGAGTTGAAACTGACTGTTGCCTTCTCATTTCCATTTTCCATATAAGACCTCCAGTGGGTCACAATATGTTTTATTACTAAGTCAAAGACTGGAAACACTCTATGTTCTGCTCAGAAATTCGATTTATTTTGCATTGTGTCTGGCTTCAGTATGCATTAATATAGTCCTATATTGTCCAGGATAAGAATATTGTCCAAACAAGAATTTTAGCGCACTTTACATCTCATCAAAAGTAGTGTTGTGAGCAAGCTAGTCTTTGATGTTTTAAAATAATTTCAGGGATTTCTATTATAAAACAAAGAGAACAACGGCTGCCAAGGTCCTGTATGTGAGCCACAGCTTGTGGAGCACATTGATATTTTTTATGTTCTTGTTTATCCACTTCTTATTCTGTTTTTCTTCCCCTCAGTAGAATGAGTGCTGAAGATTTTAAGGTCGCTAACAGCTTGTTTTCATTAACAACAATTTAATTTATAAGACACAATGAAAAGTATGCTTAATGCAGTTGCTTTGTGCTGACTTAAGGTCCTGTTTCTTAGCCAATGCTTATTTGTTCATGTGATCATGATTTTGAAACCAGAGAAGTTATTTTGATTCATAAAATTAAATCATGTTCTGAACGATAAAAATATTTATGTCTTAACAAGAAATACTTTGTTTCTTATTATCAAATCAGAACCATTCTTGAGACCATCTAGTTAAATAGTTAAAAAGTTAAAAAGAACAACTACAGTAGAAGTTAATTCCAAGCTGAGGAGTATAACAGAAAAAAGAGAGAAAGAAAAATGTTTTTTGTACTATTAAGTTGGTTGGTGGGTTGGTTTGACCAAATTCTACAAATGTATATTGCAGTATGTAGTGGAAACAGGAATTTTAAGCCCATTTCTAATAAACCAAAGTTTAGAATTTATATCAGTCATGAATTATATCAATCAGTTCTCTTTCTGCCACTCCTTAAAAACTCATTCATAAAAACATAAAAGCTGATTCCTAAGCCCTAGGTATCTTTATTGGAGTGCCTGTATGCCTTTTTTGTAATGTACGTAGCTTTTTCCATAACATGTTCTCATTCTTTCTGTATTAGATGCCTATCCTGGTCGCTGTAACTTTGAGTCTGGCCTCTGTAGCTGGACCCCAGTGAGTCAAGATGGGGTCAAATGGTCTGTGGGAACAGGTGGTAATAAGCCTCTGACTGAGTTATTCCCAAATCGGGATCACACAACAGGGACATCTGCAGGTACACTCAAATTAAATCTAATTCTCAGGATGCCCTCAGGATTCAAAATCCTAAATGCCCTTAAGTTTTGAAGAGCTTTGAAGACATATAATGGATAAAAGGCTAACATATTTGGCAATTTATATACCGTTCTGGTCATCATAAATAATAATAAAGCTATGCATTTCAAAGTTATTTTCTTTCCTTCATCACGGGGGAAAAAAGACAACAAAACCCTAAATTGAAAACACCTCAGCAAATAAAGAGAAGGACAGATAATGCTCTTGAATGAGTTCCGTGCAGACACTGTTTAAAGATAAAAAGCGAATGTTTCTGTGGGACTTTATAAAATCCAGAAGGGTCCTTCTAAAATCAAACCAGTGAACTTTTCTAATCCAATAGTAAAAGGCACAATGATTTATATGAAAATTAAGAGAATATGAATTTAAGGATACACAAATAGTAGAGCTGGAGCAAATTATTCAGAAATGCACTTTATTAAAATGGAAGAGTGAGATTTATAGTTCAATAAGCTACAAATAAGGTGGACCTTATAATCTTCTCAACTAATTATATTCTTATCACCCCTCTTATGCTCCTTACTGGCCCAAAGTGTGTCAACTCACCTCTGGACCTCTAAACCACTGGTATCCTGCAGCAGTGGAACAGCTTCTTCCTGATTCCGTGTCTGTATATGAATGCTTTTAAAGAGTGTTTTAGTTGGTGCACAGTTCTGAAATGCCTCCAAATATTCCTTTTTTCAAGGTCATTTTTTATTCATTGACATCCCAAACCTGCCCCAGGGAAGCCATGCTGCTCGAATAGGCAGCCCTCTGCTGACTAGTGCCTCTCAGTGTGAACTGCGTTTCTACTACTACCTGTCGAGTCACAAGGCTGGTGCTCTGAGGGTCTACCTGAGGAACTCCAATGACGGACCACTCGAACTACTGTGGGAAAGGCAAGAAAAGGTGGGATACACAACAGCTGTTGGTTTCATTTGTCCACTTCAGTGATTATCTTTCATAACTCTCCACAGTAACATATCTACAGTATACATGAGGATCCAGGAGGTAAATATGTAATTATTTCACTGAAGCATTGAATATTACTTTTTCTCTCAGTTTGTTTGCCATTGTTTTTCTCCATACTGTTTCTTTGACAATCATATGTTAAGTGTGGTTCTAACTAGACACAGTGGCAGCACAATGAGCAACTGTGAAACAATTAGGGATGCTACAATATGTGTTGTGTAATTTTGTACATGAAACTTCACCTCCTCTAGACACAAAGCAATTAGTCTTAGATTAGGCAAATTGCAATTGTTCTCCAAAGGATTCCAAAGAATGTAGTTTATAGTTTGTATCCATTTAGTTTGGCATCTTCAGTTATTAATGAGCTATGCTTTACCACTTCAACATTGACAACAACACTTAAGGGATAAGAACTGTGCAGTCTTTCTTCCTGCTACAGTATCTTCCATATTAAAAAAAGCATGTCCTTTATCAGATTTTGCATATTGTGATCTATGCTTTTAGTGTTTGGTTTATTAATAAACATTTACAGCAATTCTAGTTACTGACTAATCCTACAAGACTATGGGAAATGTGTTTGTCAAAGAAGTGAATAAACAGTTCTTTGCAATCTAAAGGCAAATTATTGTGCAATATTGTGCATGTTGTGAAGCATTGATTAATTTTTTGTTGTATTATTTCTTCTCCAGAAGACTTCCTGAATTATTTTTATTTGCTTAAAATATCAATCAGATAATCAAGAACATTATTTATCAGAGAATATATAAAGAAGCTTTAAAAACTAATGCTATTGGTTCCAAAAGTTCTAATGCGTTTTAATACCTTTCAGTATACTGTATATGACACTGTACTCAGAGCATTAACACTATTTTATGAAACATGGAACAAGCACAACAAAAATCTGATATCTCTATATCTCTAAGAATCTCAATTCTCTATTTTAAATTTTAATGCTATCCAGAAGGACTGTGCATTAAAATTTCAGTTGGGGTCATATTAGGATTACTGTACTATGATTTTGTGTTACATAATTCACAAGGTTGTTCATTAGAAGATATGCAAGAACAGATTCAATGGGTGATCCAGCATATTTTTGTATTTATTTGTTCCCTAAAGATTGGCCAATACTATGAGAGAGTTGCTGTGGCATTGATCAGCCAGTATCCATTCCAAGTAATTATTGAAGGAAGTGTCCGTGATCTAGCCGGCCTGGGATTGGCTGTTGATGACATCTCATTCTCATCAGGCTGTAGGACCTATGAAGGACAGCTTCCTCCAGGTATACATACTTCACAGAGTTCAGAGATACAGTGTTCTCTATTATGGCTAATGCTTGTGAGTGTCATAAAAGCACAATTCCCTGTTTAATGCATTGGTGAAGTTCTGGGGACTCCATGTAAAAACACCTAGCAGTTTAAGAATATGTCCTGCAATCTCAATCTGCTCAATCTGTTTGTACTATATAGTGACGGTGATGTGCATTTTGAGATTAGACTCAAAATCTGTCTTTGTCTGAAAGGTTCCACACAGTTACCTCCAACAGTAAGTCCTTGCTCAGACAATGACTTCCAATGTGGTGATAATCGGTGCATCCCAGTCTTCTACTGCTGCGATGGAGTTCCTCACTGCTCCGATGGACGAGATGAAGCCACCTGTGGTTCGTCACTTCTTTGTCATTTCTTTACACAACACAGTAAAATACACTTTCCCATGTGACTCTTTGTCTCTTAGTTGTTGAGACCTTCTTATTTGTTCAATACTTGCCATTAAATGAATCTGGTCTCTACATTGCTTGAGAGTAAGAGGCCCTTGTTCAAATAGTTAGCATTCTAGTCACAAAAACATCACTGAGAAAAGCATCACATACTGTACTACTGTTAAAAATACGTAATGAATGAAATCAGACTAGGTGACATAGTGGTGCTATCTATGGCCAGCAGCCATATCACCCTGCAACTCACAACTGGCAACCCACTGAAGCTAAGCAGGTGTGAGCCTGGTCAGTACCTGGATGGGAGACCTCCTGGGAAAAACTAAGGTTGCTGCTGGAAGAGGCGTTAGTGGGGCCAGCAGGGGGCGCTAACCCTGCGGCTCATGTGGGTCCTAATGCCCCAGTGTAGTGACGGGGACACTATACTGTAAACAGGCGCCGTCCTTCGGATGAGACGTAAAACCGAGGTCCTGACTCTCTGTGGTCATTAAAAAATCCCAGGGCGTTTCTCGAAAAGAGTAGGGGTGTACCCCGGCGTCCTGGCCAAATTTCCCATTGGCCTTTATCAATCATGGCCTCCTAACAATCCCCTTCTATGAATTGGCGTCATTACTCTGCTCTCCTCTGTGTGGTGAGCGTTCTGGCGCACTATGGCTGCCGTCGCATCATCCAGGTAGATGCTGCACATTGGTGGTGGTGGAGGGGAGTCCCCATTGCCTGTAAAGCGCTTTGAGTGGAGTGTCCAGAAAAGCGCTATATAAATGTAAGCAATTATTATTACCTAACACCTCTGGGGCGCTGTCTGCATGGAGTTTGTATGTTCTCCCCGTTTTCACATGTGTTTCCTCTGTGTGCTTCTTCCCTCTGTCCAAAGACATACTTTACTGGTAGGTTAATTAGCTTCTGTGAAAATAGGCCCTGGTGTAAGAGTGTTCATATACTGTATGTGATTGTGTGACCCCTGGCATGGACTGGTATGGCTAAAAACCATTATGAATATTCTGTTACAGCAAAACTCTTCTACCTAAGAGTTATCAGATTAAATACTGTGGAAAGCCACTGACATACAGCTACAAATAATCATATCATCTTCTTGAACAAATATACTTAATTTTATGTGCCATATTTAAAGGTCCATAGGAGCAGTTAGCAAAACAGTCAATGTCAATAGTAAATATTCCAATAAATTATAGGGCTCCTGAGTGACAAATAAAAATATTAATAAAAGAAAAATCATTTCCTTTCCCTTTAGCTATAGAGTAGCAGATGTGCTTTTCTTAGGTACAGCAATTATACACTGACAGAGATACCTTGCCAGCACACCATTGCAGACTTTTCTTTCCTTAAACTGTGCCCTGGTGAATAACCGTTTATGAGTAATACTCATGTCAAGTCAGACATTGATCTTGCCCACATAACTTTATTGCTATAGCGCTTCCATATATAATAATAATAACAACAATAATAATAATATTACTAATAATAACAATAACAACAATTATTATTATTGTTGTTGTTATTATTAATTTATATGTAAACACTACAGTTATTATTATTAATTATTATCAACGATTTTTAATTATTTTTATTATTGTTGGTGTTATTATTATTGTTATTGTTATTATTTTTATTGTTGTTGTCATCATAGTCTTTACTACTTTAAATGTGCCTTTAAAATTTAATTAGCTATTTTTATGCTTGATGTTTGGATACTGTACATGTACTGTATGTGTATCTAATCGATCCAATCTGCAGTGCTGATTTACAGTGCCTTTCAAAAGTATTCATACCCTTGCTACTATGTCCTGTTTGGAAAATTAACACATCGATTTAAACATTTTATTCGATACCTGAATGGTCAAACTGAAGGCTAAGATATGTCAGTTATGTTCCTACAAAAGAGAACAAAATTAGATATGCTATTTGCATAAGTATTTCGACGTATAATCAATGTTTAGTGGAAGCACCTTTGACTGTAATTACAGTTGCAAGTCTCCATCAGCTTTGCACACCAGCTTGATGCAATGTTTTCCAGTTCTTCTTGGCAGTTTTCTCGCTAAAGCTTTCTCTTGCCTGGGATTCATTTATGGACAGCAGTTTTAAGTCCTCCCACTGATTCTCAACAGGATTCAAGTGAGGACTTTGACTGTGCTTTTCAAGAAAATTCACTTCCATATTCTTAGAAGTCTCCAGTATAGCTTTAGCCTTGTGCTTTGGTTCATTGTTCTACTGAAAGGTGAGATTGTGTCCCAGGTTTTATTGTTAATCTACTCCAGTGTAGCTTTCAGCCATTGTCCTGCTGAAGGAAAAAATATTCATCAAGCCTTTAGAAGTCTGACACAGGTTTACCCCTAAGATTTTCCAGCACTTTGCTCCATTTATGTTCCCATTGACAAGCTCCCCAATCTCTATTGATGAGAAACAGAACTATTAACATACAGTACATGCTGTCACCACCATGCTTGACATTTGCTCTCTTTGGGCAATTATGACTTTTCCATTTTTTTTTCATAATAATTATCTGTTTTCTTCTTTGTTTTTGCTTTTGCTTTCAACGTATGACATTGGTTGTATATACAGTATAGTAAATGCAGATTGCAGCTTCAAGGTGTCATGAGTAAGGGTATGAATACTCTTTTAAGCCACTGTAGTAAAATTTGTTGCTTGTATTAATATGTTTTGATCTTATTATCTTAGTCTTTAATTTAAAGCCTCTGAATCTAGGGCACTGATCTGTGAAATGCATTTATTTTTCTATTAGAAAGTCCATGGGTGATTTAATTCACAGGACTCTTTCAGACAATTTTTCTGTGATACAGAGCTGCCATAGAGACAGTTTGCATCTTAAGGGGAAAGTTAAAAGTCTTCCATTTTCAATTCTACTCAGTTAAATAGTATTTGTACACTTAGTATGTAGAATAAAACAACAGGTTATTAGTAGTTATTGGACTACAGAGATTATTGGACTTTATATCTGTGTGGTAATAATGTTTAATATTTTAATGTATTTGCACTGAGATAGAATTGTGGAAAACTGTAGTTAGAGTGACATTCTTTTTTCAATGCTCCCATTTTTAAAACTTTTTTGTATACAATAAATTCCATTTTGTGCTGAGAGATTCAGTTATTAAACACATGCTTTATACCGTACAGGCACTTGTGCATTTGAGGAGACGATGTGTGGGTGGAGAGATCTTAGCACAGGCTTGCAGGCTTGGAGACTACAGCAGGGTTTTACAGCAGGTGGTACTGCTCCAGACACAGACCACACCACTGGGACTGCATCAGGTATGGCATTCTGGTGATGCATTGGATGGTATACACAGAACAGTGGACTAATGTGAGCATTCTCATCAGATTCTAACATTAGTTTAAATAGGTTTCCCTCTCTCCCTCACACCTATAGAAGGCTCCATACCCTCTGCATCTCTTTTCTTTTTCTTTCTGCATGAAATAAACCTTTACCTGTTTCTTTGCAGCCTATGCATACTGATGCAGCTACCTACTTAAAATACATATTGATCAGCTAAAGAGATGCATATGTTTTGATAGAGTAAAATAATAAAAACATAATTCATTGTTTGTTTTTAAGGCTGGTATATCTTTGTGGACTCCTGGACTGGTGTGTTCGAAAGTGAAGCTATTCTTGAAAGTCCAGTGCTTGGCGAGTCAGCCAGTTCTTGTACAGTGAGCTTTTGGTACCACATGCCAGGTAAGGAACTTGTAGTAGTGAATGTCACTCTGTACAATAAATTACATGTCCTCACCAGAGAATAACAGAGAACATCATTTAAAGAAGCAATTTTTATATACTGTAAGTGTCATTCACTTTTAAAAAGTTTCAATGAAGGATTCATACAGTTTGGGGATCTGCATAAAGCCATTACCTAGTCTGGAATTGCTCTAATTTTCTGCATTTGCACCAGGAAAACAATCATCTGATATATGCCTACATCTCACCCAATCATTAAAATAAGCTCGATTAGTCTCCTGAAGAAGACGTGTTAGTATGAATATTTTTGACCATTCATGAAGGAAGGATCGAATACCCTTCTTTCACTAATTCTAGTCCTACTGTTGAAAATAACTAGTTTCATTTTTCCTAGTTTTTTTTTTCAGGATGCATCTCCTAGATCTGTGTATATCAATAATATTGTTACAAAAAGGGGGGTTACAAAAATGGAGAAAATCCAGCACAACTTAGTAAACATCTTTTGGTTTAAAGCTCTAGGAAATGGAAATATTGACCTATGTGTCTAGATTCTGAAACAGACGTCCATTGTCATTTGCCTGTAACAATAATCATAAATTAATCGAATGAATTCAGACCTCCACTTTTTGTTGATCTTGCTGTTGAAGTGTAAATTTCAATGCATTGTGAATACAGAAATACATGGATTGCCATGGTTTGTCTGTCTATTATTTGCTTAGACCTTTCAGATTGCAGGTTACTATTTATAAATACTATGTAACTATTAACACCACATTATTAATTAATAAAATGTGGTAAGCATGGTAACAGTTTGGGATTTGTTATTATGAATATGAAGTAGTAAGCATCAGTTCATTTCATATATTTCAGTTCATAAACATGCATCAATGCTATTAACCTATTACAGGTTTGTTTGAGGGGCTTTCTAAAGAGGATGTATTACAGATATAGTTCTAATAATAAGATAACTTATTTTTAATTTACAATTCAAAATTTAAGGATTACTTCCATGTCCTCTACAGATTTATGCAATGCATTCAAGGATCTTTGGATGTTGTTGACAAAGGGTGTACAATTTTGATATTGTAGGTTATTTTTGATTTACATTATGCCACTTTAAATGCGTTACAACTGAATTTGTGCTCTTTTAAAGTTTGTACATAATATTTCGGTAGAAACCAGTAATGGACAAGTAAAACACAATGACCAATCTAATCCATCTCCTTTCAACAAACTGTTGCTGACTTAATTGTGTCCTTTGGTTTTGCTGTTCTGTTCAAATCTAAAACTAGTTTCAGTGATCCTGGAAATCCTAGTTGTCATTTCAGTTAGGAGTGTGGACTTTTGGTGAATATAAAAATTTGATCCAGTCATAGAAATGTTTCCAGACTCTAAACAGGCCCTTCCCATGACAGACCTGCCATCATGCCTGACTGAAGGTATAAGAAGGTATTGGCCTTTAGCCAGCTTGATTGAAGAGCTTTTATCTCTAGATTGAGAGAAAGATGTGTTGAAAAGGAGGTGTAGACTGTCAGTTTTTGGTTTTGCTTGTTGTTCTGAGGTGTTTTAACAGGGTAAAACTGATAACATGTATATCTACAGTATGTATACAGTATTTTGCAAAAGCAGTCAGACCTCTGCACAAAAATTTGCCACTTTAAAGCATGCTATCAGGCATGCTATCACTGTAAAGTAGCTATTAATGCTTGTTATGTATCAAACCTACTCCACACACTCAATGCAAAACCAAACAGAAAGAAGTAAATACGCAATTATTAAGAAAGAGAAATGGAAAATTCATGATTGCAAAAGAATTCAAACCCTTTGCTGTAACAAATCTAAATTACTTTAGGTGCAGAGTCAACCTTAATGAACTAAAAATAATTATACTCAATACACTTCTACACAACAATTAGTCATATGGACTCTGTATATGCAATGCTAGTGGTGCACATAATTTCAGAATAAATTCATCTATCTCTGTGAAGTCCCCCTGTCAGGTAGTGAATATCAAGAAATTAAGACCAAAATGTGAATGTGAAAATATAAGGTTGTCTCTGCTTTTGAATAGTGTAACTCAGAGCTGATTCCTACTACTGTATGAAGGACATTCATTTTGATGGCTATCATATTGGAATTGATATAAAAGAAGCTGATGCATGAAGTGTACAGTTCTCTGAACATGAATTAAATTAATGTCATCTTATCTAAAGACACTGAAAGGCATGATGGTTGAAAGAAAGTGGCAGTCTTCTCTCAAAGCCCTGATAGAACATGGAATATGGATGAGCTCGTACTATATGTCATCTGTCTTATACAAATGAGGAAGAAAGCCAGTGAGATGGAACATAGAGGTTATCAGAGGGTAATTAGGTAGGAAACTTCCAATTCCTGATTTGGCTTGAGGATTCGCAGCACATATGTGCAATAACTCAAGATTATTCATCCTATACATCTCAGTTTTTGGGGAATGATTTCATGTTATTGGAATTTAACTACAGACCCATTCTTCAGCTGGTGACACCTTCTCAGTTTGGCTTTAGATAGATCCCATAACCCTATCCTGCATCACTGATTTATTTCCACCATTACACAACTTCCATTCATTGTCTTAAGTTAAACTATACATTTGATATGCTTTGCATTTTTTGGAATGTGTTTTTTTGTATTATCTACATATAGAATGTATGTATCCCTTTACTTGTAACTGGTATTTGTTGGTAAACTCAATGACTCATTTCAACTAATCCTTACATTACCATAATGTCTTTCCCAGGACATGATGATTCTTACCTCTCCCTCTTCATTGTCCATAAAGAACAGCGAGAGATCTGGTTTCACATTGCAGAAGGGGAAAATCAGTGGACTCAGGCAGCAGTCAGAATAGGGAGACAACCCTTTGGATATAAGGTACAGCATCTCAGCAAACCGTGGATAAAACAGCATTTCCAATTCCTGAACAGTGGAAATGTTTGGTCTTTTGGATTTGAACTGAGTGGACTTAAAACTATAACTGAATTGATATATTTTAGAATTACAGTAGGTATTTTTGAATTGTTTGCAGTTCTAAAACCAAATCTAAATTTCAAATTCTATGGGAAGTATGTTGTTTTATAAAGTTCAATTCCAGACCTGGGGTGCTTTCTACATGGAGTTTCTATATTCTTCCCATGGGTTTCCTCCCACATTTAAAAAACATACTGGCTTTTGGCAAACTGTGCCCATCCTTTAGGTGTGAGTTTGTGCGTCTGTGTTTACATGTCTGCCCTGCAATAGACACGTGTGACGTCCAGGGTGTACCCTACGTTGTGTGCACTGCTTGCCGGGATAGGCTCTGGCACCCCCATGACCCTGAATTGGAGGAAGCAAGAGGAAAATGGATGGATGGTTTAAAAAGAGCTGAAAGTGAGAAAATGATTACTTCAGTTTAGACTTCAGTTGAGCTCAGAAGGAACAAAGAATGTAATGGGGTCCCTGAAGACCGTGACTGGGAATCCCTGGGATGAGCAACAAGACAAAAGTGTTATGATCAGGTTCTGAAGTCCGGGTCGGGTCTTGTAGTAGACCCTATGTGATGGGGTAAGAGCTGGAGGAAACAGGAGGCATGGTATGGGAACCCACACCGGGGTTTAATAGTGCACAAAATAATAGTGACAGTCCATGAGACACTGAGTTGGGGAGACAACGAATGGCATCCAAATCCAAGCAGGTCCGAAGGAGGGTCCGGGCACAGTCCAAGAGTCCGTTAGCAAGAGATCCATCCTGAGACGTGACAAGGTTAAAATCACAGAGAATGGGGAAAACACGAACAAACAACCAACACGGAGATCCTGGGATAACTGTGCGAGGTCCTCCAGACCCCGGGCTCAGAACACAGGAGGTGTCGGGGATGAGGCCCTCAGGAGACGGACGTAGGGCACCCTGGTGCTAGGTGGGCCTTGTGACTTCTGTACCCTAATGTTGAGCCCTGAGCCCTGGAGGAGCTAAGAATAAATAGGGGGAGACACAACAAGGCACACCTGGAACACATATGAACGATCACAGGGAACTATTGACAGGAGTAAAATGGAGCGCCCTCTAGGGGAAGGAAGACAAACAGGAAGGATCTGCTGAAAAGTTATTGCTCATTTTTTACTGAGGAGACATTATTTCTCTTTTTTTCCTCCTTTTTTGCTTTCACAGGGCAACAGTCTTAAAAATCTGATCTGTGTGGCACGTTTGGTTTGTTATGTTTAACACACCAAACACTAGCTACACATACAGTAGCTATTCTGTCACTATTGTTTCCCACTACCACTAAAATAATAATTTTAATAAAAAATATGTCATAGACTTTGGCTAGAAATCATAAATTCAACTAAATTTTATTTATTTCTTCATTCACATTCTCAGAGATCTCTGCATTTAATATTTAGGGCAATGCATCAAATTAAATACATGAAACTAAATTCACAATCCTTTTCGACTAGGTATTTACTAATCTAACTTAGGGTTACTAAATAAATAGGCCAAAGGCAATATTCTTGATTCTGCAAGACAAATGTAAGATTTTAGCTTATAAGCTTAGGAACAGAACGTATGCTGTGAAGTACTCAGGAATTGTACCTGCGCCACATGCAAGTCCAGGGAAGCAGGAGGAAAAATGGAGATGTGAAACATGTGACTGAAAGCCTGAAACAGGAAAGATGGGTTTAGGTTTATTGAGCATAGAGAGTCCTTCTGCAGCAGGGGTGACCTGTATTTCAACCAGCGGGGATCTAATGTATTGGGCAAGTGTACTATATTTGTAGACTAGCTGAGGGATACTGGGGGTCAAGAAGCATAAAACACACCAATTCCGGTGTGATCAGAAAAAACCTAGGCAACACCCTGAACACATTCAAAACAAATAGCTCAACCATTCTTAAATACAAAATGCAAGAACTTGCATTATAGGAATAACTGAAAGGCGGTTAAGTGTGGATAGATAGGTGGGGAAAAGGAGCTGGTAATGTGGGGCTACATACTGTATAAACAAATGCAAGGTAAAGGTTTCAATTCAATAGGTATATGCTGTACATCACCTAATGCAGATATTGCTGCATGTATGTACAGTAGCAAAGGTGTTACTAAAAGTTCAACTTTCCACATATCAATTGGGATGTTGCGATGGGGAATACATAAACTGAAATTAAGATGGATGAAATGGTTAAGTATTCTTGTTCATCCAATTTGTTAAAGCACCAACCTGGACAAGAATCTTTTATTGACCTAATCTTTTTAAACAGCCGGGTTCTAATTAAGAGAATAAACACATCACAAGCTCTTTATGCCTGATTCCCACACAAACAACCTGTGCGATCCCATCTGTGATAGTTTATTTTTTACAGCAAAGAATATTTTCTTTTGCAAAAACATTTCAGTGCACCAATGTTGAAGAATAATTATATAAGTATACATTATGTCAGAGTATATAAATACAGCTTGACTGAACAATGATAAGCAACACAGATCTTTAAAATAATAATGTTACTGAAATTCATGTTGTATCTTTATTAGTAATTGTAACATTTTTTCCACCTCAAATGCTTTAATTACAACATATTTTAAAAAAAACTCTATAAAAGCTGTCCATTTAACTACAGTATTTAATTAAATGGCTTTAACAAATTAACGGTAGTTTAGTTTAAACCTTACAAGAACTGACAGTTGCATTTATGCATCATTGTATTTCCAATAGTTTTTTTTTTAGAAATTGTTTTTGCTTTACTGAAGACTGGAGATTTTAGAGGGTTCTCTTCTTCAAATATGATCTATCTTTGAACGTAAGAACATTTCTCTCTTTTGGTATTTTAGCAGTAAACTCAAAAATCTGATGTAGGAATCCCTTTCCTTTAGATAGTGCTTCTTTTCATCACATTGACCAGGTCCCAACTGTTCCTTCTTCTCTGTGTTGTCTAACAGCACTTCCAAGTCCTTTACTTGTGTTTCTACAGGTGCTTCAGTTTCCATTCATTTCCAAAAGACATGCCGACTAGATTTGGTTGGCTGTTTTAAATTGGCCCTTTCTCCCTGGCTTTGCAATAGACTGACATCCTGCTTGGAGTGAGCAATTCTGTGTTTTTTTAATTCCCGATGCCAGTCCAGTACTGTACATCCAGGATAGGCTTACTATTGATGGAATGAGGGATGGATGGAAACAGATGCGGGTACTTGTGTCTCCAACTGTATAACATATTTTTCCAATGCAAAATATGCAATTGCATATTGTCAAAGGTGACAAGTAAATAATCAGCAAATAACCTGTAAAAAGGTAATTTTCAAGTTTTCACATGTTGGAATGGAAATATGAATTTCATATGTAAAGACATACAGGGAATCTTATCATGGAATTTAATGTTTGTATCTAATATGATATTTTACAGAATGAAGGGTGTATTGGTTGTCACACAATGAGCTGCCAAAGTCTTCATTAGACTTCACTAGTTTTTTTTTTATTATTCTTGGTGGAAAAATACTCACCCAAGCCACAATATTTATACTGTTATACTTTATTTGTGTAAAAATAATATTTTTTGGAAAGCATGTCTAACCATACTAAGGCTGGATTAATCTATGCTGTCTACAGTATATTTTGCCACGTTTAAGCTCTCCTGTATTTATTAACAATTTCTACAACAGTCCCATCTTTAAATAAGCTTTTCCAGGACACCCTCAAAAAAGGTATTTTATGTGGGAATTAAGTCAATTAAACTTATCATTTAGGGTAAAAAAAAATGAGTAGCATTTTACTGTACATGAGAGGCATCAAATTACATTGTGCAAATCTGAGGCCTTGGGTTTTTATTTTTTGTCCGCATCAAGTTTTCAAGTGTACTTTAATGGTGAAATAATTACTTTTTCCCATCTTCATTCACATGAAAAGGAGCTTAGCCTCTTGCTATAACTCAGACAGTGACTGTGGTCATGCTTCATGATAATGGGGAATAATAGTTTTATTTGAAAGACATTGCCTTGATTCATCTTCACTACAAAGATTTCAATGTCCAAGATCCTAATACACAGCTGAAGAAATTCACTGAATGGTCCAAATCATGCTAAAATTGATTACAGTAGAGCATAAGATAAATTTCAAATAGTTAGAAAGTCCTTCATGTGTTCATTATGCTGTAGGTCCCACTAACCTGGATGTTTTTCCCATCCAGATGCTCATTATAGATCCTTGTGAAATCAACAGATGAAAATGGAACTGAGTGAGTCAGCACTTTCCACACAATGCTGTATATCCTCTTGTTCTAGACACCAATGTTATTGGAATAAAAGCTTGAAAACCCTTTATTCTAAGCCAAAATCACAAAGATCAATGCAAACATAACAGGTCTAAGATTATCCTTGTTGTTTGTTTCCTGGATTTTTATCAGTCCTCCAGTGTTCTTTATGCTTTAAGTGCATCTCCAGTCTACTGGAAACACTTACAAAGGCTGTGGGTAATGGTTTAGCCGCCACCAAGTTCATGCTCTACATTAAGCTGCCTTAATTATACAGTACCAATTGCTCTCCTCATCACATAAGTGGCTTTCTTATAGCAATGCTGAATCCCAGCATATGGGAAGATGTGTTCCTTATAAAAACAACTTTGCATCCTCTGAAACCTTGCTAGAATGTATGGTGCCTTTGAAAGATCTTCTGTGGAGTAGTTTTCAGATCTAAAAATACAGGTTTGTTTTCTGTACTTACCAAGTTACAGATTTTAAAAGCAAGTTTTTCCATTTTTTTGAATTTAGGAAATCAGTCACCTACTGTGCCTCAGCCTGAAAAGAACACCCTAGACTTATTTTACCTTTCAGTCTAATTTCTACAAAGGCTGATATTTCCTGGGTTTTCAGTTTTTATTTATCAGTAGGAGGTGGCACTGTGGCACAGTGTTTAGT